GCAGGACAGGTTGTGAAGGAGCCAGTCTCTGAGCGCAGGAGAAACTGAGAGAACCGACCATGTTCCATAGATCGTCCTGAGCCTGTTTCTGTCTCCCAGGGATACGGACCCTTAATCGAAGGCATGGCTCTGATTATGTAAAGAAAGAGGATGAAATACTGCCATGACCAAGCAATCAGTCCGATAAAGAACAAATGAAATGAACAATAACTCTGTAGTAAAATAAAAACTTTATAAAGAAGCAAGTATAACATCTCTAGCTTTAGCACGATAAGGAAGGTAATCTAACAAGAAGCAAGAATTAAGTATAAATTAATAAGTTTATATACGTTTTTTTCTTCTTCCCACTCCTTTGAGTATCTGCGTGTGTTTCTCTTGTGTATATAATATTTATCATTAATATTATGTAAATGTAAATGAGGGATATTTTCATATTCTTGTATAGCCCTAATTCACAACCGTAGCTTTTACACAAACGTGGAGAACACAAAGATAAGGAAAACACGTTGGTATTGGTCCATAAGGGGCAGATGACCAATGTCCATAAGTGTTGATAAAATAACATCAATATATAAAAATATGAACAAAAATCCAGTGTGTATTTTTTGTGTCCTGTCCTTGTTTCAGAGACAATCAGATGACAGAAGCATCCCATGGTTCCGTCGTGAGCTGCACCGACTCGGAATCGGACGTGGGGCCAGTAGAAGCACAACGCAGCACCGCAGACACCCCGGTGCTGGAGGCCGCTGCCCCCTGTGTAGTGCCTTTGGGGGCAGAGAACGCATCCAGTGACGACGCCCCTCTAACAACGCCCAGAGCCTTCATCCCGGCCAGTGACAGCTTCATCAACAGTCTGGTTTCTGATCGCGACAAACCGGCTGAAGCTCAACCCTCCATTTTAGAAGTGTCACAAGAGGACGCCGCTGCCCCCACGCCCGCCCCGGTGCTTCTGACCCCGGATGATGCGTTCCGGGACAATCCCTGGAGCAACGTGGACCTGGAAGGGGCAGAAGCGGCGCGCAGTGCTCAGGCGGCAGGGCGCGCGGCGGACGGCGACACGAGCGCGTTGACTTTAGACAATCCTCAAAGAACGGGAGAAGAAGAGGCGCCGGTGTGGGCCTGGATCTCTGGTGGAGGCTGTGATGTGGACTTGGAGTCTAAAGTCAGCTGGCTCAGTCCCACAGGTACAGTACTTTGGGTTGAAAAGTGTTTGCAGTGGGAGTATGCAAAAAGATGTTAGTTATGAATTCAGATTTTTGGATTTGCAATTTGAACCACAAAAAATCTTGCGTATGTAAGTGAAAAGGTCCACACCATCTCATTTGCACAGTATGTTATTACAACTCAAACCAAACTTTAAACCAAATATGGCTTTTTATAATTTTTCATCCATCCATTTGCCTCTGCTTTGTCCGTTGCCAGGTCGCGGGGGCAGCTGTCTAGATATCAATGGATTTCATATACAATACTAATAGTTTTGATTGTCAAGAAAGGCTGTTGGAAAAGGGAAATGTTGTCAAATCAGCAAATCAGACCACAACATAATGTCTTGGCAGAAAACACACAGTTTAACCCTGTGTGTCACTAGTTCCCACGTTATGCTGAGAGCTGATTGGCTGAGGTGAGGGCGGTCCTCGCTTTGTCACTTTTCTGAAAAAATGGATCCAAAGATGAGACAATGGTCAAAAACACATGAAGGTTAAAACTAGTGGTAGAACTAGAATAACTATTAGATTGATTTGAATGTTAGGTACCCCAGCTTTAATGAAGGTTTCCCTGCAGGTGTCCTCACCAGCTCTTTGTCTCTCACTCCCGTCCAATCTGCCGCCTGGAGTGACGAACGTGAACGCAGAGACGTCACCAGCAGAAAACCCTTGGAGAGAAGCCATGTAAGTTCACACATCTAAGGCAAGTTTATTTGTACTGAACAAACCCAGATAGAAACAATCACACAAGGCATTCAAATGATAAATAATGACAGTACATTGAAAATAGTACAGATAAAATCCCTCCGTTGCATGCACAGCTAAACAGAACTGTCTTAACCTGGATTTGAACATGGAAGCCTGTCTCACATTTTCAGGAAGACTGTTCCGACATGTACCTTGTATCAACTGGCTGGGTTTGTCATAGTCTCTGTGTCTCTGTGCTCGCTCAGTCTGTGTGGGTGCGCAAAGGAACTCTGCGCTGGTGGAGGGACTGGAAGCCTCAGCGCTGGGTCGACGTGACTGTGGCTTTGGAGCAGTCCACAAAGTCAGACGGAAAGAAAGACAGCATTTTTTTTGTTTACTACACACAGTACGACGAGAAAAAGGTTGGTATTTCAGAAATCAACACACATCATTCAGTTTCAGCTATATTGAAATTCTAAAATATAGGTACAGTATGTGCTGTATTGGTTGTCTGGTCACAGTGGCATATACACATATACAAAGACATTTTAATGAAACGTATAAACAAATAAATACTATATATGTATAATTATGAATTAGAGCGTACATACATGCAGTATCTCACTAATAAAAAATGATAAAAATGAGGAATTACCATATGCACCTGTCCACCATACATAGAATATTTGCGTTTGGATTATATTGCATTAAAAAATGACGTGTTCAAAATCCCTTATAAAGATGACCATGATTCAGAAAGTTAAATTCAAAAAGGTTTATTTCCCTAATACAAAAAGAATCTAAAACAGCTGTTCGGACCAAAAGTAACTATCCCTTATTCTCTATATAAAGTATAAAAGTATAACTCTGAGTGGGCGCTCCACATCAGGTCACACACTGTCCCTGGTCCGGTAAAAAACTAACTAAACACATTCAAGCTATTCATTAAGTAAATGTGCAGGAAGAAAGGGGCGTGTCGTATCAGGCAGGTCTTGGGTCCAGGGTCCGGCCTCTTCCATCATGTCCCCTCTGTCTCGCCGGACCTGAACAGAAATCATTCACGCACTACCCCTCCCTAATTCTATAGAAATATTACTTCCTTGAGATAAGGCCGGAGGCTCTCTGGGTCCCCCTCCTTCTTCAAACAACTGGAAGGATTAGCAGAATCCCCCCAGATTACCTATCATTAACTCACTCATGCACTTTGGACAAAAATGGGACCAGGGGAGAAGAGCAATACAAGGTCTTTTTTTTTGCTTGGAAAAATACAGAGTTCAATTCCGGGTCAATCAAATTCACATCGGCTTTTAGTCTATATTTAATACAACAATTACAATCTCAAAATTGTTATTAGAATTTACTTTGAAAAATCAATAAAAAATCCTTAGGCCTGTTATAGTTAATGTTATAATGATGATTCAAAGTGTGTGTTTATCTGCGTTTTAGTACCTTCAAGTCCTCATCAGTGAAATCACAGCACTGGTCCCAGTTATCAGAGACTGCTACTACGCCTTCGCCGTGTACACTGCCCAAAGAACCAAGCAGCGGTGGCCTTTGGTCCTCGCTGCTCAAACGGAGAAGGACCTGATGGACTGGGTAACGTCTCTCACACCATCTCCCTCACGCCCCCTCCCACAGAACGCACTTTCATGATCATTGTGTGCGTTTAGTTGTCGCTGTTGTCCGACTGTTGCTGTGAATGTCGAGGGATCTGCGGGCCGCCTTCTCGACACGCGCTGTGGTCCACCACCTCAAAGGGGGACGTGATGGTTCATGAGCCGTCCTTCACGCTAGAATCTCCCGCCACCGCGTTCTCATGTGATCTCATGTAAGCGGCGCCAGGCCAAGTGCAATTATAGTACCCCAGGGTTTACTTTATTATCTCATTACTTTAGTATTTTATTTAATTCTATTATCTTAAACAATAGATCCTGTTTGATGTGTCCAACATGAGTTCTCTTAATGCCTCTTTTTTATATTCTGCTGTAAAGTGCGCAACAATGACATTATTTCTTACATCTAAGTAATAAGATATTGTATGGACAAACTATTCTAATTATTTGTATTTAGAATACAAATAAGTATTTAGAAGACAATATTCAGATGTCAACGTGACAATTGTGTTGAAAACAAGCTACAAAAAGTCTTGGTTGAGGTTCAACATCTGCTTTAAACATTTCCTTTCTGGTTAGTTTTATGTTTTTAACTTTCTCGATCGAATATTTTGCAGTCATCTCTACCCCTGACCATCAATGGCTTTCAGAATGATAAAAGTAAAGATGGTTGTCATGGGGATGGACAAGGAATGGTCCTCAAAATGTTGCATGAGAGACGCTGCAAACTTTGCATTGCTTCAAAACTACAATAACAATATTACCAATAGTTTCTAATATCTCCTTCTGACTGTATGTTCCTCTTGCTTAAGCTAACCAAAGCTAACAGTGACTACCAGGTGTGATGCTCTTGGCTGTGCTCTTGCCTGTGCTGCCCTAGGTTCTGGAGGCAGGTCCCGGGACACCTGCGCTTGGTGGAGTCCAACAGTCTGGGGCTGGTGTGGGGCATCGGGTGGGACGGCACTGCCTGGGTCTACCGTTTTCCGGGTAAACGTTCTGATCGGAAACGCTTTTCAGGGTCTCCCATTCATCTGCTTTCTGCCATAACCCTTTGCACCTGCCTTGATCTGGTCATGGGTTGTGATGTTTTTGTATAATAAGAATTATTTAGAAAAGAGAAACCCATAGGTTGAATACTCATGTACACATAAAACAGCCAAGCTTAGCCAAAACAATGTTAATTTTCATAACAGAAGAGACGCATCTTGTGTGGATTTTATGGGACGTCAAATCTAGTTTGTGAGACCGTTTTCATGGCCCCTGGGAATTATGATTCAAAGCTACATCTCTCAAGAAAACAACCCCATAATTTACTGTCATTTAACTTAAACTCAATTGGCAATAGTAAATGAAACATAATTTGCCTACAAGAACACTTTACCTGCAGCTTTGGGTCAATCCAAACATGTTCAGAAAAAATCTACCAGACACTGTCCAAAGTCATGTTAAATGAATGTAATCCTTTGGTAAAAATACCTCCATAATAAAAAGAAATTGTCTTTGAATTTTATGACATTGATGTAAGAATTCCATATGAGAACTTAGCATTGATTTTTTCTTCTTTTAAAGAGAAATACAATATTTCCTGATGGCTCTGTCACCGCAAGAGCAGTCGTTCCTCTTGTACAAATGGACCACATGCACTGAATGTCCTACAGACTACACAAATGTATGCAATGCTAATCAGCTGTGTACTTGTAGGAGACCCAGCTGAGACGCAGCAGCAGACCGATGTCCGTAATGTGTACGTGTATGAAAACCAGAGATGGAACCCCATGACGGGATACACAGACAAGTAAAAGTATACATTTAACATTTATTCTGTCTGATTTGAACTAATTGTTTTGTTCTGTACAGGGGACTTCCTACAGATCGCCCGATGTGGAGTGATGAAAGTGGGCTTAAGGAATACACTAAAAATACAACTCACCCTCCCACCCCTCAGTGGTCCTGGGTAAGACTGACAAGTTTATACATTTACTCAAGACAAATTATAAATCTAATTTAATTCTATTCAGATTTCAGAATGGGCTGTAGATTACAATCTCCCTGGTGGCACAGACAAAGATGGGTGGCAATATGCAGCTGACTTTCCTGTGTACGTTTAACACAAGTGGAAATACTTAATGAACCGTGTTATAAGACGCCATAACACGAAACCTTTACCTTTCAGGACTTTCCATGGGCACAAAACGTTGAAAGACTTTGTCAGGAGAAGAAGATGGATAAGGTACTGCTGCATGCCTGTGACTGTATTTACATGTTTATGATTAATATATGACTCTTCAATATCAGAAAGTGTAAGATCACCCTTGCAGCACCATGGCAACAGGTCCCGCCCATCCCACTGAGTGACATCTGCCTGATGCCCTGTCTGGCTCAGAGTAAGATGGTGCATGTGCCTGTGTGGGCCATCAGCGAGAAGGGGGACGTCCTGTGCCGATTGGGAGTGAGCCCTCAGAACCCTGCGGTGAGAACTGCTTTGTTATAGTTTAGGTTTTCTAAAGTGTGGAAACTTGAACTGTGTCATCTCTGTTCCACAGGGAACCTCCTGGCTGCACGTCGGCACTGATCAGCCGTTTAAGTCTGTGTCTATTGGAGGAGCCAACCAGGTGTGGGCTATCGCTAAGGATGGCTCTGTGTTCTACAGGGGATCAGTGTCACCTCAGAACCCTGCGGGTTAGACTTAACATTCATGTGCTTGTTAATGGGAATAGCTTTGTGTTCCGTCACTGAGCACATCTATGCGCCCCCTACAGGAGAATGTTGGTACCACATACCATCTCCTCAGAGACAAGCGCTTAAACAACTTTCAGTGGGACGTACATCAGTGTTCGCTGTAGATGAAAACAGTAAGTCTTTACACTCTCAGGGACATTTTGACCATGTGTCTCAAAATGGTTTTGTTTGTTTTTACGTAGGCAACTTGTGGCACAGACAGGGCCTGACCCCGAGTTATCCCCAGGGCTCAGCCTGGGAGCTCATCTCCAACAACGTTACTAAAGTCACTGTGGGCCCTCTGGACCAGGTCAGTCAAAGTGAAACTTGGTATGAATGAAGTTTGGATAATTGTGTCAAAACAGGAAAGACATTTGATCTTTAACATGTTCTATTTTTCTCTATATTCCACAGGTGTGGACCATAGCAGAGGGAGTGCCAGGATTTCCTTTGGAGTCTCCTGGAGCCATATGTCACAGAGTCGGAGTTGGACCAATGCAGCCGAGAGGCCATTCTTGGGACTTTGGCATCGGGGTAAGTAGTCAATTTAGTGTTCGCTAAAGTAAAGTGAATACTGTAGATAACATCTGTGTGGTCTTTTAGGGTGGATGGGAACACATTAGTGTTCGAGGAAACTCAGCAGAGGCCCCCCGGACCACCCTGCCCTCTCCTCGCAGCCCAGCCCCTCAGCGCCTCTCCAGTCTGGACAATGGCTCTCCTGTGAGCGTGTGAGCACAGACATCGCTCACCTTCATCTTCCACAGGTTTAAGGGAATGCACTGTGCTCAGAGAGGATGGATCCAACCTTCCTGATGAATGAATGTTACAAGTTTCCAAAGGCAGAAATCATGCAAGTTTTCAGCACAAAAGGGATTCATTTACAAAGACTGGGTTCCATTTGCTCGTTGCAAGGGTCTGATATTTCGTAGCGATAATTCAGGAGTGTAAAAAGGGCAGTTTGACATGTTGCACAATAGTTTGTTTGGTGTTGCGTTGTTTGCATGTGACCAGTCTATTTATTTATTTATCATCGTTTGGATTTGTTCATTCCATTCTTGCCTGTCAATGTTTGCCCCACAAGTACAATAATCCATCTAGATACAATGAACAAAAACTTCAGTCGATATATCCCTGAATGAATTTTGCCGTGCAAAAATGCCTTTAGCAATAAATGTGAATTCTCTTAAGACTGTTGATCCTGAACAACCTTCTGTCAATCGTTTTACAAGAGCATTGGACTGAAGAGGAACATGTTTGGGGTGTTGCAGAAGTTTAAATGCACAAAATAAACTACAAGGAATTATCGTGAGTGAATCTTTTTTTATTTTCATATTAAATTGTGTAATTATAAACACTTCAATTAATTACACTAAGAATGAACAATATTAAAATATTACACTTTTAAAATCTATTTTAAGACAATTCACTCTCAGTTATGTCTCAATTCAGCCGTTTACAGTCTGCGACAGATATGTTTGAATGAAATTAGCTTAAATTACAAAATGAACAAAAGAAACCTCAGTTTAAATCAAATACACTGTTCCCATTTACAAACAGAATCATCAATATACATCAGTACAATTCAACATTAAGTTACATTTTTAAAATGTGCAAGATTAAGCAAAAATGTATACTGTGATCTTAAATAATCTTCAAGTTTCACTGAAAGGGTTCAGCAGAGGTTTGTCGACAGTGTCTTCTGAGTCAAACTGTATGAGCTACAGTGCGGAGTCATGCAAACTATTTCACTTTTTTACCAATCCATAGTATTGTATAAGAAACAGGAGCAGACAGCAAAATAAAGCCAGTCTGTTGATGATAATAAAGCTTTTGCACTTGGTCTCTTCCATGGCGCCCGCGGTCCTGCACCAGAGACGCACAAACCAGCTTCTTTACTTGACAATCAAGTCCAACGCACAACTGTACACAAACCGCTCAATACATCTTTTTTTTTATATAAAAAAAAAAAACAATCCATAGTGAAGTACTTTCCCCATTTTGATGGCCCACTGTCTGAAGAGTACACAGGCACTGCAGTAAGACCAGCGAGAAACAGCAAAGAAACAACACAACAGGAGTTCAACAGACTGGGGCTGCACGATCATCGCAATCCAATCACAACCGCAATTTTAGAGTCACAATTATCAGAATAATTGCCGTCTTTACAAAAAAATCTTTAAAAATACAACATGCTTGAAAGAGGGGAGAATGATCTTGATTTGAGAGTTTTGAAATGTCATGTTTTAGATAAAACACTTCTGCTCGTTCCGTAGGCAAATCTCAATAGTCTTAAAGTGCACATTTTCTCAAAGAAACACATGTCAATAAATAATTTTAACTTAACTTTACATTTTTACAGTTAATCTACTCTCATTACTGCCCATCTTTATACACTTGTCTGATGGACGTTTTGGAAATACAACTCTCCTGATGTTTGATATGCATAAAACCCAACTTGTTAAAACACATATTGTAAATCACGTCGCAGTGTTTGTACAAAAAATTACCATTTGATATTTGCCAAAATCGTGCAGCCCAAAACAAACATTTGCAGACATATCAAAAGTTTTAAACTGCACTTTTAAAACATGAGAAAAGTGCCAGATATGGAGGTAATTCTTCCCAAATGTGGATTGAAACTCATGTAATGCTACAGTCTCTCCAAACAGGAGGATATGGAACAATAATTTACTCTCAGAAAGGCAACCACCAAAATAATTACACACCATAAAAGACCCAAATGGACCAAAACAAAGATTTTCATGCTCAAATGAAAACGTATTCCTATGAAGCTGCGTTCAATGTCAAGAGTTTTTTCTTAGTGTTGTCAATTACAGAAGTGCGCATGGAGACGAAATCCCACAGAGCTGGAATGTGCTTGATGAGAACATGAACGAACACCATTTTAGTGTTTTTTTTATTCCATGAGAAAATGCATGAAAATGTGAAAACACAAACACGTACAAAGAGAATTACTGCGGACCCTCGTCGGTCTTACAGCGTTTATTGCAGCCGTCCAGTTCATAGTTTTGTCAGTGTAAAGTACAATTCTGCCTGAGAAAAACATCACCTTTTATCCCAAGATACGTCCTCGTTTCAGCCAAAGATTTACTCGACAAAAGTGCAACGTCGTGTCAGTTGTGTGACGCCGAATCAGTCCTTCTCTCCATCTTCCCCACTTCCTACAGGGAGAACACAGATATTAACTCTTTTTCTTTTATTGTGAAATAGACAAAAGGTGACACCCTGTAACTTAGTAAGAGATAGTGGACAACTTCTATCATTAACAGAAATACTCAGAAGAAAATGTAGGGAGACATTTGTGGGAAGCCAAGTTGCTGTATAGATAGTGCTCTGGATTTAAGAGTTTGTGAAGCAATTCTGCTACTTTGGCGCTTAAAGGGTTAATGAAAACAAATGTAATGGAAGAGCTTTTCTGTAAAGCAGTATTGTTCAAAGGGATTTGAACAAGCTTTCATTAAGTTGGTCACAAACACTGCAAAGTATTAAGTATATTAAGTATTCAATGTTTCAGTATACACCATTATCTCTTGTAAGTGTATTGTCAGTGTGCCCCAGGGCAGCTGTGGCTACAGTAGTTTATCACCACCGTGTTTGGAGTGAAAGAAAAATGACATCTGAAGCATCTTTGAGTATCCTGAAAAGTGCTATATAAAACCAATGCATTATTATTATAATCATCATATTTCCCCTGAAAGAGCAGGTTTTTCGGGCTTATAAATATTTATATTCCCATTTGAAGTAATTTACCACCCTAATTTAAAGATACATTTCAAATTGGCATCCATTGTCCCCACATCAACTAAGCTAGTTCCATAAGCAAATATTGTTTCAGATTTGCCTCCGATATCCACTACTTTTTCCCACAATATCCGTAAGACATCAAAGTTATGACATCACTACAGCACAGAGCCATCAATAAATGACTGATATTTTGGAGCATTTGTAGATGGTGTCATGGGAACAGGATGTCTGCGCGTTACCATGACAGCGCGTCACTTGCCTCCTTGCTCGATGTCGGAGTCGGTGAGGTGAGTGAGGGAGAAGCTGGCAATGCTGGCCGGAGAGATGGAGAAGCGCGAGTAGCTGGAAGTGGAGCTCCAGCGCGGCACCGTGCCCAGGCCCCCAGCCCCAGATGTGGGCAGAGCTTTGGGACCAGGGGAGAAGTCATCGTCCCACTCAAAGCCACCGCCCTCCTCGTCCGTGGAGCTCTCGGAGTTGGTGAAGCGGTTCAGATAACTGGCTTTGGAGGCAGAGCTGCTGAACTCTGGGACGTGATTGTTTGAGCTTCCGGAGTGGTCACCGAGTTCTTTGGTGGGTGTATCCTAAAAAATACAACAACAGCAATCTGGTCAAAGCTGGGGGTCCAAACTTTCAAGTAACTAACAATAATCGAAGAAATGAAATCCATGTGACTAGTTCTTGGCTCTAAAACAGTATTTTCTTTTTTTTTTTTTTTTTTTTAAATCATGCATTTCAAGATTAGTGGGTTTTTTCCAGGCATTTGTTTGGCGTCTGTATTTTCCTTCTCATCCTTATGATAATATAAACAAATAAATGTCACAATTGACTTGTTAAACCTAACAAAAAAGATATCTTCTCTGATCATTATTGTATATGTTTTTGTTCTTCGCACGACTTATAAAATTGTAAATGAGAAACAAGCAAAAAAACACCAATACAAACATCCTTGGCTCTTGGCTCATATTTCAGTTTTGAAAGTTGAACGCTTCCTGTAGTAGAATCTTAAACTATCAGTTACAGAAATATGGTAACGGAGCATTCACGGTTCAATTCACTCATGTGGACGTGAGCATGTTTACATTCATTATGTCAGTCTTTAGTTTAGACAAGCTGATGCCCACCTTCAAAAGAGAAGACAAAATTAACTTGTTCATTTTACTGAGTATTTCATCAATAATTAAGGAATTATCTGAAGTAAAGCGTAAGTTTAAAACCACAAAAACCTACTCACTCCTTTACAGAAAAGTCTGATCTCTTTGTTGTTGTTTGTTCCTGTCCTGTCTTTGTTAATATGGCTATGTATTATTTGTGTTCAAAAAAGCTTAACAACAACAACAACAATAATTATAAATGATTGTTTTCACATGTATTTTTGACCTCCATTATATCTTTAGATCAGAGAAGGTCAAACTGAGGAACACCCTCACTCAGCACAAGCCGTCAAACAGTGACGCACAGGACTGTTTTAAAGACGTTGTTCAATTATTTCATAATTTTATTTTGGAAAAAACAAAATGTATAATTTACAAAAATAAAATGATGTACCCCAGTTTTAACTGTACCTATACTGTGTACCTTTTTGTCTGCCATAATAATCATTTGGATAGTAATCACAATGCTATATATTAATAATAACCAATGGTAATCCTATGACACGTTACCTGATCAAACAGATACACGGTGACATCATCAAAGAAGGACACGGCTCTCCTGGAGTTGTCTGCGTTGCCAGTCGTAGCCAGTCCGGAAGCTGCCGAGTTGATGCAGAGCGAGGTGGGCTTCAGTAAGCTCCGCAGGTTCTTGGCCTCGCTGTCGTCGGAGATGATGAGCGGTACCGGGTGCGTGGCCTCGTCCTCGCTGTCGGAGCTGGAGCTGTTGAGTCTGTAGGCGCGCAGGTCTTCGTCATCCGAGTCCTCGCTGTTCTCGTCCTCCTCGTCCGCCTCCATGCCGTCCTCGTGACCTTCCAGCCGGCCCAGGTAGCGCCCCTCCACGTCCGGCTCTTTGATCTTGGAGCTTTCGCTGGCATGTAGTTCGGTTACATTGATGTGACCGTTTTCGTCAGTTACGGGCAAAAGTTCGTCAGCAACTGGCTCAAGTTCTGATTGTTCTGCGGGTGGCAAAGTGTGTAAAAACTCAGCTTTTATTGTTGCATCTTCCTCATTGTCCACAGAGATATTTGCATTTTCTGAATTGTGAAATTGTGAGTCGTATGCCTCTCCAACTTCAAGCACCAAGTCTTCAGAAGTTTGCATATGAGAAGAGTCCAAAACCAAGCTTATATTCACTTCTACTGCTGGCGTCTCATCACCGATCGGCCCGTGACTGTCGCTCAACCACATGGCTTCCACTGAACCTCCCGCAGCAGTCTCTTCTGCTTTCTTCTCTGGTTCGGATTCATTGTCCGAGAAATAGGCAGAGTCTCTGTAATGGGTGCTCATGATGAGTGGCTGAGGTGGGCTGGCATTGTCGGGCTGTTCTGCAGGTTCCTCTGAGCTCCCGTCGTCAAGTCTCTCCACGTCCGATATAACTATTTCAGGTGGAGCCAAAATATTAGCAGCGCCGCCAGGACTAGCTTCATTCTCACAGATTTGACCATTGTGAAGATCTTTGACGCCAGGTTGGGAATTCCACTCTGGTGACTCCATGTTTTCTGTTTCATAGCCACTGTCTGATATTTTATAAGGAGGTTGAAGTTTGCTTGGCTTGGCCTGTGCATTCTCATACTCTTGCTTCTCATCGATTCTGTGGATATCGTAAGAGTCCAGAGAATCAGGAGTTTCTGCAGTATTTTCCATTGTCACTAATGCCGTAGATGCGCTGTCTTCGAGTAAACTATCCTGGCTGATTTGATCCAAAGACGGGCCAGACACCAGTAAATTAGATCTTCCGAGTTGTTCAGGGTTATTGTCTAAAAAAGCTTCTTCTTGATCAGAAAGTGTAGTTTCCATTTCTACGTCGGTCTCCTCAATGAACTCACTAAACAGATCATTACTAGTCAAATCTTCGCTTTGCCTGATATTTTCAGGTATGTTGCAGTCAAAGGGCTTGAAACCTCCGTCTGAGGCAAAGGGCTCATCTTCGGAATTTGGTGTTTTGGCATCTACGCACAAGGAATCTATAGTGGCACTAACAGAAATAGTTTGATCTGCTTCGCTCGCTAATGCCTCATATCTATCAGAGGTAGAATCAATACCAGAGTCCAAACCTCTGACAGCAGACTGAAGCGGACTCAGGTCTTCAAAATCGCTTTGAGCTACTGTTGCATCGTCCTCTGTCACCACGGTGATTGCGGGCACCTGGGTTTCACTTTCTGAACCTGACTGGCAAAGATCGTCCTCTGTGTGCAAACCCTTCTGCCCTGTGCTAGTTAAGGTTGGTTTTAAATAAGACTCTGCTAAACACAAGTTGCCCAAATTGTCAAAATTATCCCATGAAGACATTTTGAACCTCTCCTCTGGTTCATGCGATACCCCAGGTGTGAGAAAGTTCTGCTGTGGACTCATAAACCCTTTGAGGAGGGTGTGGTCACTTAAAAACATAAAATTGTCTGTTAGGTTATCAGAATTCTGAAGCCCAGCTGCATCCACATCTTTCTTAGCCTCCAAATCTGAAGTGTGATGGGCTTCCGAGCGACCCTCTGAAAAATAAGTCCCATAGTTTTTATCTTTATCGACCTGTGGAGCAATGTCTTCATGAAAAGGGTTCCTACTGCGTTCTGGAAGCTCCATGAAATGTCTCCAGGGCGGCGAGTCATCATGCTTAGATTCTTCTTCTGTAAAAATGTTTGTGTGGTAAGGGCTGTCATTTTCTAGAGATGACCAAATATGACTATCAGGTAAATAAGAATCCTTTGAATCAATACTTTGATGAAAAAAGTCTGCATCTGTGCTCGACTCATCCAGACGAACATCTTGAAGAACAACAAAGTCTTGTCTATTGTCCATATTATGACCACTGGAGGCATTTTCTCCAACTACACCATCCCCTGGTTCTTCTAGCTGAATATAAAACTCATTTCCATTGGACTGTTTCTGAGCGTCAAACACTGAGAGGATCCCAGGGATTCCTGAAGGAGTGCTGCTGCTGCCGTCTGCTGCTCTGTTTGATGCAATGGGGAAATGAGCCTGGATATCTTCCATGGACACAGGGAAGAAGGTGCTGTGGTAGTTTAAAGTGGTGTCCATACCAGAGTGTCCGTGGTTACCCTCATAGTGGTCATGCTTTGCCGCTTCCCAGACGTATTCAAAACTCAGACCTTTACTGGTTTCTGTGACAGTGAGAACCTCATCGATCTCCTGGCGAAGAGCATCGTCTGCAAACTGGTCCAGGATGGGGAAGGACGAGTGGCTGATAGTGGTCTGCCGTGTGGCAGGGTTTGGTTTGAGCGCGTCCCAGCGCTGCTCAAAGTCCTCCTCCATGTCCTTCTGGCCCTGCATGCGCAGGTAAGTGAGCAGGCGATGCACCTCCTCAGCCGTTGCACGCTTGTCAGGGGACAACCAACAGAACTGCAGGACCTCATACCTGCAAACACATGTGGACAATAAGCTCACTACAATCATGGTGGTTGTATTTGATATCACAAAGCAGCTCCATGTGACATCAGAGCAGCTCCATGTGACATCGGAGCAGCTCCATGTGACATCGGAGCAGCTCCATGTGACATCGGAGCAGCTCCATGTGACATCAGAGCAGCTCCATGTGACATCAGAGCAGCTCTATGTGACATCAGAGCAGCTCTATGTGACATCAGAGCAGCTCTATGTGACATCAGAGCAGCTCTATGTGACATCAGAGCAGCTCTATGTGACATCAGAGCAGCTCTATGTGACATCAGAGCAGCTCTATGTGACATCAGAGCAGCTCTATGTGACATCAGAGCAGCTCTATGTGACATCAAAGCAGCTCTATGTGACATCAAAGCAGCTCCATGTGACATCAGAGCAGCTCCATGTGACATCAGAGCAGCTCCATGTGACATCAGAGCAGCTCCATGTGACATCAGAGCAGCTCCATGTGACATCAGAGCAGCTCTATGTGACATCAGAGCAGCTCCATGTGACATCAGAGCAGCTCCATGTGACATCACAGAGAATCCAAGACGTCTTAATTTTATCACATGGAGATGTCTTGGAAAATGTCATACATTTACAGTCATTTGGATATTGCACCCCGAATATATACTGCAGTGGCCTTCCCTTTGAGAGAAAAGTCCAAAATAAGTATTGTAGCCCATACTCTCTGACTATTATTTAATAAATATTAAATTCAGTTGTACAGTGGAACACATCAAAATCTAAAATAACAAGAGGCCAACTAAGTATAAAAGACAGATGTCAGGTGGAGGAGGGAATAGGGCGTTGAACCGTTTAAACAAAATATTTTGGGGATTTAACAATTTAGTGTAGTTATTAGTCAATCAATTTGTCATTGCCAACTAATTTAGTAATGGAACTATTATGAAAAATGGATGGAAATGAAAATATGTTTACAAAGTATTCTTTATCAAATAATCCAATGAGAAAGAAGTCATCCATGTTCTCTGTTGTGGTCAAATGTATAGAAATCCCATATCACTGATCTTTCGGGATATAAACTAATCAATTAATCAAAAGAAGCCAACTGCCTTAAAACATTTTTTGGGTAAATTGCATTACACTCAATTCGATGAAAAGTACATTTTATTTAAATAATTTAGGGGCATAATCAAAAAGAACAACAAGAGCAATCATTGTAATAAGATACATGAGCATCAGCAGGTTTGCAGCATGTACTCACCATCTGTCGGAGTACGGCAGATCCAGCTGTGGCTTAAACAGTTTGACTTGCTGTTCCTTGATCACATGATTGAGAACCTCGCGGTCTGACAGATGTGGATACGGCTGGTTGGCAGTCTCAAAAAGCTCCCACAAAGTCACCCCCAGGGCCCTGCACAGACAGACAAATCTTGTATCTCAATCCAGGCTTCATACGCTCTCTGTTTGTAACAGTTGTAACAGCTCTGATTTAATTTGTCTGTTTAGATAGTTCACCTTTCAATATATACTTAATTACAACATATGCTTTGTTATTGAGATACAAGTCTCTTGTAACAGGACCTCCTTATGCAACCATGCAATTTATGACCGGAAAGCATTTGGGCAATGAGTCGTGAAGTCAGAGGGGGGCTGAAGAGACTTTACAGTGAGATGCTTGAGGTTGGCGTGTCAGTGTCTTTTTTGGGACCAAAGCCAATCTTTACATTAATAAAAAGCAGCTGCCTTCTTTCATGTCAACTTATAATTTTAAATTATTCAGAGCTTGCCAATGTGATACACATCTAATAAGTTAATCGGTGTAGCAGAGAATGGCACTTACCATACATTACTGGCCTTGGTCTGCTCCAAAGCAATGACTCCCCCATGGCGTTCACACACAAGCTCTGGAGCTAACCAGCGAAGAGGAGCAAACACATCGTCCTCTGTGATGATGTAGTCCTCCTATTAAAGCAAAAGCTTCTGTTTTCAATAATATTCAACCAGTCTTTCAAGGAGTTGAACAATTGTATTTACATTTACCTTATATCTGTAAGGTCCAATGCCATAGTCTCCCACTTTTACCGTTAGGTCAGCAGTCAGGAAGCAGTTTCTCAGTGCAAGATCACTGTGAGACAGATTAAAACAATCAAAATTGTATGATCTACTTCAACAATAGAAAGTGTTACATGTACATTACAAAACTGATATTTGTTCCATTTGTGAGAATGTGTGTATGCTCCATCCTGAAACAGAACCAAGGTGAGCGTGTGTTCTTTGGGTCACTGGACAAGCTCATAGTGAAGTCACTGATACTCCGCAGACACTGAGAGGGGCTTTGGTTTCCCCTTAGCCCAGAGGCATTCCCTGCACAAGATCCAAGATGCTGTTACTCGGCTAAAGACAAGCATCGTTGACACGAGTGGACCATTCAGAGTCATGCCCCAGAATCCCCAGGAGATCCATGGAGCCTCTTTACTCTTCTCTTATGAGCTCCAGTCAGTTTAGAAACTTTACATTACAAAATACACTTCTCCCCAGATGTATGCAACAAAATACTTCAGGCCAAAAATATACTTCTAAATGTACTATGGTCTTTAAGAACCCTTGTTATCCTTATATCACTGTTGTGCACCTGTTGTGTACAGCGTCTGCAGGCTGACAACACTTGGGCCTAGACCTCATCAAATTGCTGTCGTGCCATTTTCTAACATCAATACTGTTTTTATTAAATGTGGCTAACATGGAGAAACTGTTAAGTAGTAACACATGGTATAATTCAACCCCAAATATGAGGCTATCCTTTTACACTTAAAGAGCAGAATCATCATATCCCTCTGACAGCGGACAGCTGACACTGGGGTAGAGCATGGGAGCTCTGTAATCTGAGCTGCCCTGGATTATTCTGAGCATGCAAAATAGAGTTGATGAGTTGAGCATCGTATGTTACCCTCAATACACACTCTCTCACACCCCCTGTATCTGCGGGCTGCTAGCACTTAGATATCCCATACATGCAGGGGTAAAAATGAAACTCAGGCTGAGTTTCATTGTTGCGCACACCTTTTTTGGTGAACACTATTCTTCTGCTCCGACTGAGGCAGCGTGCACCATGAGCCGATTCTTACAATATGGGCACTCAAAAAATATATACATGGTACTATATTTATTTATTTATTGTTTATTCGGTTGGGACAGTACATGTTAATGAACTGCCATGGGCTAATTTCCATCCGTTGTCCCACATTCGCACGCACAAATACACACTCATTCAACCTGAACTATTGCACATGTTTTTAGTGGTAGGGGAAACCGGAGTTGCCGGAGGAAACCTACGCAGACACAGGGAGAACATGCAAACTCCACTCAGAAAAGCCCTGTTCCGACCGGGATTCAAACCCAGAACCTTCTTGCTGAGAGGCGAGAGTGCTATCCACTCAGCCACCATGCCGCCCTATAAAAATAATATATATATATATATGGTACTATAATAAAGACTAAAAACATTGTATGTGCTGTATTGTAGATCAGAATGAATATTCCGTTTTTGAATTAGGTTTTGTCTGTGAAATACTACCTGTGCAGGAAGTTGTGTTTGTGGAGATGAGTGACACCAGCAGCAATTTCACAGGCCATCCGCTGGAGCTGCAATACCTCTGCACTTCTGTACATCCAGTCCTGGTGAGACAGGTAGCCTCGCAAATCACCCTAGAAAAACAATATATGCATTTTACGAATGAGCAATTAAAAGAAAAAGAGGGACATTTAAATTCTGTTAATAATTTTTTTTTAATAAACCATGAGAGCATTACTATAGTCAATGATCAGTCTGGGTCTTTTTAATAGAGGTTTTCACGTTTACTCCACACCGGACCCTCTGACCACTAACCACAGCACATTCGTACCAAGTGGACATGTTTTAAATGGTAGGAGCAAAACAAACAAAGAACAAAACCAAAGAACTTACAATGGACTTTTGTCAAAATAAAGGGAGAGCCACCAACTCCTAAATCATCATCAAAAGGTCAATACTGGAGCGGGTAGACTGCTTATAATATCGGGGGACACCACACACCACCTTTGTAGTGAAGAAAGCTGGTCAATGGCTGCACCATCTAAAGGCGACAGAGAGCTGAAGCTCCCACCACGGGCACTAAAAAACATTTACACTTGCACCACTGAGCCTCCTTTGGGACATCAGCCGTGTGCATGGGAGGCTGAACTCAGCACGACCACCTGGCCCTCAGGACAGTGACCCACTCAGCAGAGGACCGTCAGGGTGGACCTCCCTCAACTGGAGGACATACACATCCCACCATGCCACCAGAGCTCAGAGGCCGCCCTAATCATGGACTGGTCACCTTGCGATCATCTGGGAGGCACCATAATCTCCTCAAAGTCAAAACTGAGAGGATGAGGCGGAACCATTGTCCCGAAACCATGACAATGTTAAATCAACCGTAATTATCAGTGTATTAGATCATATTGAGTGTGTGCATCCTATTATTTCTGCTGGAAGGTACATAAAAGAAATTTCACTGCATATCATGCATGTGTATGTGACAATAATACACTTGAAACTTGACACAGGGACAACATGTAAACTCCTCACAGAAGGCTAGCACAGCCCAGGAGTCGAACCAGGACATTCTTGCAGCAAGACGAGGTTAGATTTAGAGATTAATATAGGAGGCAATTTTACATCTGAAAATCATTAAAAGCCCTTTTTTTATTAGGGCAGGGACAAAAAAAAATGATTTAAAAATTATTTAAAAATGAAGTTAAAAAAAATTAACTGCAGCACACCTTGGGCAGAGAACAACTACAACTAACAGAATTTTCAATTATTCAAACAATAACACAAAACCTATATTTACATTGTGTTTGTTATTCCTATGATAAAAAAGTCAATCTACCAAGTCAATGTTGGTATACCAATTTAAGATGCAAAACATTGTGGTCTCATAATTGTGTGTCAATAGCACTAAAAGACAAAGATATGGACAGGTATTTGTGCTCTTAATAGCATTAGAGACATTGCACTATGAGGAGCTGCCACATGGAGGCAGTAGACCATCCTTTAGCAGCTCAGGAAGAGCACCAAATAAGGACAAGCCTGTTTAGAGGAGCCTGATGTAGTGTCACACGGATTTATAAATAAAAAAGAGGTCTGCTCAGGTTAGTTAAAAGGACTATTCCCAGTCCAAGTCCTGCTGGAATAATAAGGAAATGGGTGAAAAACTCCATGGTGAGCAGAGGTGTTTTTATTGTTGACGTGTTTTTGCAGAGACTATGGTTCTTCATAAATTTAAATGAGACCATAAGGCTCAGCTCTGGAGGTTCAGAGACGAGTTGCTTAAGACACCTGTGCTTCTCATTCAACTTTGAGCACTGTAAAAACTTCTTTAGATACAGAAGCACATGCGCTTTTATTCATGTGGTTTATAGAAATGCATTTCATATATATATTCCATATATAATTGACTTCCATTCTATATATATTTAAGTTGCAGACGTTTTCCCAATACAGGTAGATAAAATAAAAAATAAAGTACAGCATATACAAGAGCGTGAGGACAACACAGCTCTCAGAAGAGTCCTTCACAGAAGAGCTATAATAAATGTATGGTAACTGATACTGGGACTTTACTGATACTTCAATGGGAGGACTTGGCAGAAGGTTACAAGGTCGTGTTGCAAATAGTGGCTAAATCTGCTTTATGAAACAATATTAGGTCAAAACGATGCAGCTATTTGTAGGTCAATAATAGGTCTACAGACTCCAAACTTTAATTTGACTATCATTTCAGGTCCTTTCAATTATTTACTATGGTACACATACTGTGTCAATTGTAATGTGCAGATGGGTCATTTAGTCAAAGGTGGAGCGTAACAGACCTCTTGAGAAAAACATTAGGCTGTACAGACTTTTAATGACCACAATAATTGAGGAAGTCAGAGCAACAGAACTTTGAACCTGAGAAGGGACTGACTAATGTCTTGGCTCATGGCCAAGAAGGAGAGCCATGCATTAGATGCTGTCACTCACCTCAGGGTATGTGACATTCAGTGGCCCCTGCACCAGTTGCCTGATGTATTTTGATGTCTAAAATGCTTTGAGTCAGGGTTACTGTCCTGGCACGAGCAATGTGGGACAGAAAAAACACTATCAATCAGCGGGGCCTGTCAGGGAGAACGTTGCATATTCGCTTTTTGGGATTCACCTTGTCCACGACACAGCTGCGGTGTTATTTTCCATGTTTCAACATCAAAGAGTTGATTGAAAATAATTCTGAAGCCGCAGACGAATGCTTATTTAGATTAAGTAATGAGAAGTGAAAGTAGAAGCTAGTGGCCGACATATTTGAATATTTTAGGGATTTTGTCGAATAGTTATATCTGAAAATGTTCTTTTCAATAACACATGATTATTATTATCTTTATATATATATATATATATATATATATATAAAAATAAATATATATACATATCTATTATTTTTTTACTAGCTAAAACAACAGTAACAAGCACAGACATTAGTCAGTTGTGATTTCCCTCACACATTATCACCTTGGACAAACAGGACTGTTCCTCAGCACCTAATGGCTTCTGCACACATGCGATAAGTCATTCACCTTGACTCAGTTCCATGTGCTGTCATTACGGGAGGCATCGCTGGCTTAAGAACAGCACGTTGGGCTGCTGATAATAGTCGAAGCCCAACAACAAAGTGCATTAAGTGGCAAAACCAGCAGGAAGTGTGTAAATGGCAAAACAAGTTTTAGGGATGAGATATCTTTGAATATTTAAAATGTTCAATAGTTCAACATGTACTTCTCTCAATGCATCTCTACCAGTGTCCAGCACAGACAAGGTGCTACCCCTAAAACGTACAAACAGAGAAGCTGCTGGAGCTGACACCAGAGGAGTGTAAATGAAGCCAGCTGCTTTACTGGACGAGGTGGGAATGTGAGAAGTCCCAAGCTTAGACTACCACTACACAGAGGGAGGCAGAGGGAGGCAGAGACAAGAGGGAACTCTTGCCAGTCAGAGTGATGGGAAGAACTCCCAAGAATAGAAAAAAAGAGGAAGAGTGAATAAATCAAATGCCATGGTGCAACCCAAGTTGTTGTGTTAGTGAAACGTCATAACGCAAGAGGCTAAATGAAGCTTTAGAGCGAAAGCTCAAGCAAGGTGTATATGTGTGAGAAGCTGGTCTGCTGCTTAAAAAATATTTTTTCAGAATACATTTACAACTTACACAAGACCAGATTTTTGTCAAGTGTGAACCGGACAGGACCGTGTTACTGCAGAGCTGAAGCTAAAAAGTGTGTAAATGTCGCTGTGTTCTGGGGCCAAACACTTCACCAACATTGCCTGGTCTGGTGATCATACTATTGCTAGATTGTATCCTGATCCCTATTTAAATGTTTTGATGATCAAGACGTGCTATTTAATTGACAGCAATCATGTGACGTGAGGGGCTTACCTCCATGAGAAAAGAGGAAGGGGCAGGTATAGAGTCTTTTTAATAAATAATCAAATAAACGTGTCTTGTGTAAATAATTGGTGGTGGTTGGAAGGGTTGTTTGCACAGATTGGGAGCCTCACTTACGTTAGCTTGCCAAAGGGCTGCTGTGGCTATAGTGGTAGTTTACCACAAAGGATGAAGTGAATGAATTATACAATGTAAAGTCTTTGAGTGTCCAAAGGAGTGCTATACCAGTAGAAGTCTGGTGCATAACTATAGTAGTACTAATACTAGTAATGTTAGTATCATCATCATCTCATAACATTTGAAAGGAACTTACCATCTCGCAGTACTCAAACACAAGAAGAAAGGGAATCGCTTCAACACACTGGCCAATGCACTGCAGGATATTCGGGTGCTGCAACACTCTGGAAAAATAGTTCAAATTAGATTTAACACTAGTCTAATAAAGACAAGGGCTTTAGTCAGTTAAAGCTCATCAGGTCTCGTCAAACACTGATACTATTTAAGAAAGAAAGACACTGTAAGCATAAGGCAGAGTGAGGCAGCGCAAGGTGTGTGAAAATTCAACAAAATATAGTAGTCTTCAAGCTATTTGATAATCTTAATCTTTAAAAAAAAGATTATATATCTTTTTTTTTTTTTAAGAAAATGGGAATGACTAACAGCAAAGATATTCACCTGTATGGATCTCCCTGCTGCAGAAATTCATTCTGATCCTTGGAACCAGCATTAGCCTTTAACTCTTTCACCACCACTCTGGTGCCCCCAGGGTCAGTGTAGATTTCACTGAGAAGAACCTAAGACAGAAAACAAGTATATATTTTTTCCAAGAAACATCAAATCTGTTGACCATCTGCATAGTGACATGGCACAAACCTGTCCAAACCAGCCGTTGCCAATCTCCTGTATGTAACTCAAACTGTGTCGTGCAATTTGAGCTCCAGTGGCCCCTTCTGTAAACCAATTTCAACACGAGTCAGGAGTCTGTAGTCACTTCAAATTTGGGACCAGTCTAAGTTTGTTATTTTGGCCTGACCTGTGATGTGAGAGGGCGGCTGAAGATGTGGGGGTCCTGGCAGGGCAACTGGGGACACTGCCAGTGTGTAAACCTCAGCTGGAGACTGAACTGAGGGGGTATCCTCTGCCGGGGGGGTGAAGTCAATTTCATCATCAAAATGGTCCTCAAACTCCTAACACAGAAAAATCACATTCAAATCTGGATCAAATACAGAATGCATGTACCAGCATTATTTCAATGGGCATGTCTAAATTATAGGCAATTTTGCAAATGCATGTTAATTAGATAATTACAAGATATGGGTCAATTACATTTGAAAGGTTTGTGTTGATGAAAAAATTATATACATGTGAAAACCTGACTGTCAGATCCTAGAAGCTAAGAGATCCAGATTCAGGACCTGGCTAGTACTGTGATGGGAGACCTTAGGGAACCCCAGGTGCCAAAGCGACACAACTGCTGCTGTAAAGTTCCAATCATTGTGGTTGTTCTTACACTCCCTAGTATGACTCTGGTATGTGAGCGAATGATTGATGATGCTCGGAGGGGCCGATGGCACAGATTAATTGTCTCGCTTCTATCTGTCTAACTCAGGGCAGTTGTGGCTACAGCAGTATTTTACCACCACATGTATGGAGTGAATATTTCCAAGTGAAGTGTCTTTTGGTGCACAAAAAAAGCACTTTAAAAAAAAACAATGCATAAATAAAATGAAATATAGTTATCTTAATTAATATTTCCATGGCTGTATACCTCCAGGTCTCACCTTAAAGTTGATCTCGTTTTTCTTGCAGCAAGTGACACAATTCACCAATACCACAGTCAGAGCAACTAGAACCGTCAGCGACACCACCAAAGAGAGGCAGAAGGATACGGACAAAGAATCCACCGGGTCTCCACCTAAATCAAACATCACAGACAATAGAATTAACACTGTGTGGTGTGTTTGGTCATTGCTTAAACCTATGGCAGAAAACTAGTTGGGTTTAAAGTAATTGTGTTGGTAAATTAAGATATGGTTTGAGGTTTTCCATTATCAAAGGAACCAATTCTTCTGCCTGTGTAACTGGAAAGACATTTTTATGAGTTGCTTTACTTAGCTCCCCCCCAAAAAAACTATGAAGACAGATATTATCGCAGTATGAATTAACAATCCAATCGTTAATTCCCGTCAAAAAGGTTCATTTTGATAAAGAAAAGAAGAAAAAAAAATATCTTTGATCTGGTCTTCATACTTGTATCAGCTCATAGCTTTAGGAGTCAGGACCATATTGGCAATCTCAAAACTCGTCTCACTCAGGGGTGGCTCATTCAGAGTGCAAAAAACACAACTGTGTATTAATACCCACCTTTCGGGCAAATGCAATTATCTCAGTTTCTGTATGATTGTTTACCACAACATTTGGACACTTTCTCATTCAATGAGTTTTCTTTCTTTTCATGACTATTGACTGTAGACTCACACCCAGGCTGTGTAAGGGTTATTTGACCAATAAGAAGAGTGGTGGGTGCTGGGCCAGATGACCTGGCCTCCACAGTCACCGGACCTGAACCCAATCCAGATGGTTTTGGGGTGAGCTGGACCAGAGTGAAGGCGAAAGGGCCTTCACTCCCTCGCTTCTGTCAGTGTGCCCCAGGGCAAACAGTAGTTTATCACCACTGTGTATGAAGTGAATGAATAATGACATGCAAAGAGTCTTTGAGTCTCCAAAAAAGCGCTATATTAAACCGATGCATTATTATTATTATTACGACAAGTGCTAAGCATCTCTGGGAACTCCTTCAAGACTATTGGAAGACCGTTTCAGGTCACTACCTCTTGAAGCTCATCAAGAGAATGCCAAGAGTGTGCGAAGCAGTAATCAGAGCAAAAGGTGCTACTTTGAAGAACCGAGAATATAAGACATATTTTCAGTTGTTTCATACTTTTATTTTTTAGGTACGTATAATAATTCCATACGAGTTAATTCATAGTTTTGATGCCTTCAGAGTGAATCTACAATTTTCATAATCATGAAAATAAAAAAAACTCTTTGAATGAGACTGTGTGTCCAAACTTTTGGTCTGTACTGTATATTGTCTAGTATGAAGATGTATTCTATTACTTCTCACAGCTGTGTAAGATTCTTCAAAACAAACTTTTACAAGACGTCACTAACCATTCAGAATTCCTAGCAATCAATTTTATACAATAAAATACCGTAATTTGTGTATAAAAACATATTACAATATTAATTAGTAGTAGTAGTAGAATTGCATAGCTAGTATTTTCTTCAACATAGCTAGTGACATGAAAACCATCAAGAGATTGAAAAGGGTTTAGTGTAACAGTGAACACATAAATGTAAGGTTGAAGTTCAGTGACTTATGTGAAACAATGTGAAACATTGACATAAGTCAAGTGGTTGGATGGATCATTTACTTATTTGAAGAACCTCCCGGCTTTAATTATTCATTATTATAACTACCACCCCAGATAGAACATAGATCTGGGGATTTAAGGGAGTAGAACAAAAATAATCAAATTACTCATAATTTCTTGTAAACTGTTATGATTGAGCAAACACAGCAGCTAATTATTGACTGGTGTTGATAAGATAGGCATGTTTCACAGTTGTATTTTGGCAATTTACAAAACATATTTCTGGTTCTCCTTCATTATATTCAAAACCAAATCACAATATTAAAAAAACAAATTAGATTCAATAAACAATCTTCAAATTCTGTTCAGAAATATCAAAACAAATCTCAAAGGGCAAAACTATTTATATGCATAATGTAAGTGCACAGGAAGATCTGATGCATTCCATGCGGGAACGACAACACCACCTATTGAACTATAAACTTTGCAGACTGACACGTTATCCAACGAGCTTGTTCAAATAGAGTTATAGCTTATGTTATAACCACGGGTTTATGAATGATGACAAGCAGCATATACTGTACATTATATTACAGAATTTTACTATTATAATAATACTTGCAAAAGCTTGTATGCAAGTTGCTTGAGTAATAAACGAATCGGCATTAGCGACATTTGCAAAATCTCACGTAGATATTAAGTAAATGTTCTTAAAAAGGGCCAAGGAAATGAAAACATAAACGTGTTGTCGTTAGTGAGTTTGTTACCAACAGCGCTGACCACAACCCAACACTGACCCAGCCTAAAAATAACGCCCTGTGAGTGTGGCTAACGTTAGGCACATTTGCCATTAAACGTACCTGGTTTGTGGTGATAGTGAAGAGGTGCCCCATTGGACACTGTGAAGAGAATCCCGAAGACCAACAACAGAGCAAATCCTGTACGGACCCCCATCCTTTAGCTAAGCTAACTAGATGTTAGCTATACAATAAACGTGTGCCATACAGTAGGCGGCTGGATGGAGACCAAATATCATGTTTTATTCATTCGATCTTTAGATCATATAAATGTATCATACAAGTCAATCATTCCTTTGGCGTTTAGCTTATGGCACAGTCGAGCTAACGACATTAGCTCCCAAAGCTAACAGTTTTAGCTTACGACAGCAGTCAACGATGGCGGTGTGGTGTTACGTTGTCCAGACAGATCGAGCATAAGTTATCACCTTACCACATACCATTATAGAGGTGGGTAAATGTATCTCATCTATACAATACTACAAATTTATCCAGAATCCAGAATTTCATGAATCGTCTCTCATCCTCAGCGCCATATTCGCACACGACGTCACATCAGGAATGAGGCGTACATCTGTCAATGATTGGCAGGTCTTTAAACCAATCGCACAGGCCCAAGCGCTGAGGTTTGTTATTGGTGTTGCAAATCATTTCCTTTGAATCAGTCACCTGCCAAGCGTGTGAGGTGAATTCTGGTTATCACTTTTGCCTGCAAGAATACGAAGAAAATGGATGGAGAAGTTAAAATCATTATTACAATTATTTCTATATACAATATACAAGTGCACTCTGTGCACACAATAGACGTTAGAAATTATACATTAAGCAGGGAGACAAGGTAATGAAGTGTTCAAGAGTCCAACAGTTGAGAGGAAGAAAATGTTCTTATGGCGGGAGGTTCTGGCCCGAATGAACCGAAGCCTCCTGCCCGAGGGGAGAGGTTGGAACAAAAGTAATAAATGAATCTGAATCTGAATCTGAACAGTCCATGTGTGGGGTGAGAGGGGTCGGCAGTGATACGACCAGCCCGCCCTCGAGCTTGGGCGTCATACAGGTCCTGCGGCCGATCACCCTCTCAGCAGAGCGCACAATGCGCTGTAGTCTCTGCTTGTCCCTTACAGTGGCTCCAGGCAACCACACGGTGATGGAGGAGGTGAGGATGGACTCTATGATGGCCGTGTAGAACAGTACCAACATCTGTGCAGGCAGCTTGGCTTTCCTAAGCTGCCGCAGGAAGTACATTCTCTGCTGGGCCTTCTTGATGAGGGAGCTGATGGTCCTGCTGGCTTTCGCAGCAGGGGTGTGGTCCTTCCTCATGAGGGAAGGATGGAGCATGAGATTGATAGATTGGTGGAACATCTGGAGTGATGGAGGCAAGAGCTGAATAAGGCGAAGGTTTTCCATTACCAGTCAAGCTAAGTTCACATGCACCTTCATCCGACTGATGACTACACCATCGTGGGCTTTGTATCTGAGGGGAACGAATACCGGTCGGTTATCATGAACTTTGTCGACTGGTGTGAGCACAACAACTTCTGCTTGAACACCAGTAAGACTGAGGAGATGGTAATCGACTTCAGGAAAAAAACACTTTCCCATACGCCGCTGAACATCCAGGAGGAGGACATTGAGCTGGTGGACAACAATAAACTGGACTGGTCCCACAACACCAACGCCCTGTACAAGAAGGGCCAAAGTCACCTCCACCTTCAGAGGAGGTTGAGGTCCTTTGGAGTGAGCAGGCCTCTGCTCAGGACTTTTTATGACTCTGTGGTAGCCTCTGCATACACTACGCTGCCGTGTGCTGGGCCCCGGGCAGCACCGAGCGGGTCAGGAGCAGACTGAACAAGCGGTCAGGAGGGCCCTGGACTCCTTTAGTGGAAGACTGAGACACCCACAGTGCAAGAAGGGGCGCTACCGCAGGGCCTTCATCCCCACCACTGTCAGACTGTAAGATAAGTCACTTGAAGTCACTAATGACCTGCACTAGGACTGAAAAATCGGCATTGCTATTGCAGACTAGTTTTAACTTGAACATATTTGTTTGCACACTTTTGTCTTTTGCACAATCTGAATGATTCTATCCATGCCAAATGTGGCATGTACATTTCTGCACTGTGAGATCAATAAAGCTTATCTTATCTTATAAAGAAGGTCCACCAACACCTTCACTTCAGTGAGAGAGCTTGACCTTCCCATTGAGGCTATGACGCTGTTCTAAAGATGGACAGTGCAGAACCTCTTAACCTACTGCCTCCTGTCCTGGTTCAGCAGCTGCACAGTAGAGGAGAGGCTCAGTCTCAGCCGAATTGTCAGAACGGCAGAGAAGATCCACGGGGCCCCTGCCGCAGCTGCTGGAGATTTTCACAGTGCTGTATTAAGAGAGTAGGTGGGATCCTACTGATGACCAGTTTGACCTAATGCAGTCAGGGATTTATGAACCTTATTTGAAATTACACTGGCCTGCTGCGGTTGTGTGAAGCACAATTTTAGTTAGTTATGTTGCAATCAAATACACAATTTTTGGGGGTGATTTGGGAGGTTCAACACAGCTGCGCTGTTTGCTGGATGGAGTTTAAATGTGTTGCAAATACAGTAAATGCCACTATAGTTTGGGCTTAACTTCAGAGCAATAGATACATGTAATGTTGACTACAGCCTGCAGTCAACATTACACCAGCTTTGCAACTCCCTAAAGAAGACCAGGTCAAATTTGTATGGAAAAGGTAATGTAAAAGGCCCATACCGACCCAACCAAAGACAATTGGCCCAAATAGAAAAGAGCCATGTCTATGGAAGGTATTGGTATCTCTGCTTGGACTGCAGCCTCCTGGCGCCAGATAAAGCGGAAGAAAATAGTGGATGGATGTCTCCTTATATACTGTGAGGACATGGCAACCATTCCAACCGGATTTGTGATATCCTTGAGGAACGTTTAAGCCTGCGTGTTGTTCCTTTGGGTCTATTTTATGGTATTATTTGACAACAATGCATCAAATTATCTCTTTGGTGAACATTCCTGGAATCAAGGAGGTGACACGTATTTTATTGTGACTTTGTTGTTTCATAAGAAATATCAGATATGGGTGATGTTTGGTAATGCGTCTTGGTCCGGACCCCTTTGAAAAAGACATACTGGTATGGCAATGGCAATGGGATTTCCTGGGGAAATAAAGGTTTAATAAGTAAACGAAACATGTAAACTTTTATTATTCATAAATTAATCAATATAGGCTTACTTGGAAATCTAATTTGGAGCAGTGCAACATCATTATTTTATTTCATAATTATTATTTCATTGAATTTCAAGAAGGCCTTTCCAAAGAGATACATTTGGGCTCCTATTCAGCCGTAATAAAATGTCGTTATGCAACAATATGTTCTGTTTTATATTTTAGTCAGCCGTCTAATGAGGATAGAATCGCATCAAATGATGTTCTTCTCTAAATCTTTTATCCACCAATGCAACAAAATGAGTTATTATCTTGTTTTACCAGAGCTGCCATGTGAAATATGGGCCAGTGAGCATAATAGAGCAGTGATTAAGTGATGAGGGAGGAGCGGGCAACTATCGCGGGGGGGTCTCTGTGGGTTTGAGGACAGATACGTCCGGTTGCTTCTTGCTCTGTTGTATCACAAATATTCTGCTGTAGCAGACGAGTGTGAATCCAAAGGTGGCAGAGGATACCCTGGTCAATCATCACTCCAGAAGCACGGTGAGCAATAATCTTGTAATTGAATCCCTTTGTTTACATTGTAGATTTGTATGTGATGTTTATGAGGATGTTTAATAATAATATTAGAATATAAGGATATTTTCCGACACCCTAATAATACCATCATAATTCATAGATGCAGAAGGAATCTATATAAAGCATCAGTGCTTGTTCACTTTGTTCATATTAAGCCTTTGTGCTTCATTTATATTTGCAAAAAAGTATTCTTCTTCTTGTAAGAAGTGGGGAAGTTTCAATGTTGTTGTTGCGCACATTAAAGCAGAAAAAAGGAAGAAAGAAGAGCACCCATGTTGCACACATCAACCCTCATAGGATGAAATACTTTACGACTATAGATAGATTACACATATTACTGTTGCTTTTTGTGTATATTATTTCTATTTCTATAATGTTTTAATGCAATTACTGTATTATCATTCCATTTTATATTCTTGCATTCGTTGTCTGGGCATCTCAGGCAGCCGACGAGGATCATGGCATTTGCAGGGATAGTGAGCAACGATGACATTAAAGCGGCAGTCCAGGCTTGTCAAGGTGAGTCCATGCCTTCTTGAACATCTAAAAACCACAGTATGAGCTTTAAGTGATTCTGATTCAAACCAATTCACAAAACCAGAGAGAGCATGTGTTAACCACCCTCTCATCTCCATCGGGAAAACTTGTGTGGTATGTTGCCCACAGTGGTGTCTGTCGGTAACCAAGCAGCCATGAGGCAAGAGAGCAGCTACCTCCCAGAGCTTGGATTGAGCTTTCACATACAAAAACACAGCAAAAGTAATACGCACTTTTGCAAAAACACTAAATATTCATCAGAACCAGTTAAATCACCATGATAAACACAGTGACTGCTCTTACTGTTGTATGTAGTTGTTACATCTTACTTGTTTTGTGCACATACAGTTGTCATGTTTGATTTTTTTTTTACATAATACATCTTGCACAAAATGGACTATATTTTTACCTTTAACACGTTGTCTGCCTTTTTGCACACCTGAGTGATTCTATCTATGCCAAATGTGACATGTACATTTATCCATTGTGAGATCAATAACGTTTATATCTTCTTATCTTATCTTGCACGATCCAAGGTTTGATGTAACCGTAATGCTGTTATATAAAGCCACCAGACATGATTTACGCAAACCCGGTTTTGCCCTTTTCACCAAATTAATTGTATGAAAAGATAAGAGAAGAAATCCTTTATTCGTCCCACAGTGGGAAAAAATTGTATGGTTATCCGAACAGACATTTTTGTTCTCGTGCAATGTAGCAATGTAAATGTCCCAAAAAATGCTTTTAGGCTGTGCACCCACCACCAGCCCTGTAGGCTAAAAGTGATGGCTGCTTCACAGGCATAATGGCACAGGGTTATAATGGTAAAAAAACAGGGATGTGCTGCAGGGAGCATATCACTAAATGTCATTGCCTGATGAATGAAAGTCATCTGAGCGAAAGAGTACATGTAACTCTTTTCATACACCCTTTGCTACTGTGGTTTCTGCATGGGCCCACTCACTATGCCTGCATCTGTCTACCTCTCCACCCTTGGTCTTTTCTGCCCTTATCTACTGTATGTGTGTTTGTAGCTCCAGGCTCCTTCAACTACAAGACATTCTTTGAGAAACTCGGACTGAATGGCTCGAGCCACGCTGATGGCCAGAAAGTGTTCACAGTCCTGGATCAAGACAAGAGTGGATATATAGAGGAGGAGGAGCTCAAGTAAGTGAATGCTTTGTAGATATTGTGTGTGTGGTCTTTCAGCCTGGGGCAGAGGTCACTGTGTGAATGTATGACATTTCACTGAGAATGACTAAATCCATGTACAGGCTGAATTCAAGTGAAGCTCAGGAAATACAGATGTTTAATGATAAAAGAATAATTGGTGTGTGTTTTTCTTACCAGATTGTTGCTGCAGAATTTCTCTCCAGAGGCCAGAGAGCTGACTGTGTCCGAGACCAAGGCGTTGATGGACGCTGGCGATAAAGATGGCGATGGAAAGATTGGTGTGGAAGGTAATATAAGAACCCTCTTGGGAATTTTTTTTAAATGTCTTTAAATAATATCCATTTTCATGGTGACTTGTCTTTGCAGAGTTCTGTGACCTCCTGAAATGACATTCCAAAAATAATTAATATTTAACCAAACTTTCGAACAATTAAGCAATAAGACAACAGACGAGGAAGATTCCTGCCTATACTTGCCCTGTACGCATGATACAATAAAGAACAAATGTGACACTGTTTATTATGGACAGTAAGAAAAACATTTTCTGTCTCTGTGCATTTTCCTATTACTTTTCCTGAATACAGAAGAATAAATGTTTGCCACAAAAATGTCATCTTTTCTACTAACTACATTTGCCTAAAACAGCGAATGCTTTCCTGATCACAAAACACAAAAAGTAGCGTAATGACTGTATCACCAAGCCCAAACACTGCATGCAATTTAAAGCGGTGCTACTCAAGCTAATGCTTGATTTAAGAGGCCCAGTTTTAACTTTTACTCGAGTACAGTTCATATTGGGTTTTGGCAGATTATAAAAGCCATGGTATTGAGAGACCAATATCTGACTTGCCTTGTCTGAAAGTGTACATCCGCTTAAAGCGCTCAACGCCAACATTATCTGCCAGATCATAAGATGTGCATGCATTATCAGACTGTGATGGAAAGCTTAACAAACATCACATGTAATTGGTACATTTAGTTTCAATAGCCATGTTGCTAAACCTTAAAGGAAGTGCACTCTTGTTGTGTACTCCTTATATATTGGGTCTGGAACAATGTGACTGGAGCTGCACATGAGGAAACCCCTCTCAAGGGTCACAAGAGTGGCATAACTGCTGTGACACGGTTTCTGCTTACTCATTATGATTTAAAGGAAGTCATAAAGTATGAGACCAAAACTCAATGAAGATATCATATACACTTTGACATATTTAGGTAACAGGTCAGTATATATGGACACAGACATCCAACCAAAAAGGCATGTGATGGGAAAAATGCACCCATATATAGTATAGTGTTGCAAATGTGTACAGTCAGGCAAATGTGTACAGTCGAGCAGATGCAGATATGCAAATTCATTTTTGAATTGCTTTTTATGGACAAACTGAAAGACCTCTGCTTGAAATACGAATCATACGCTTGATATGGAAGAATACTGTGGCTGTGTAATAAACTAGCTACGTTATGAAGGACATGCAGAGGCTGCACATGTCTATCATCTCTAAGACCATCTCAGAGTTCCACTGCTGCTCCAACCCTCAACTACAGGAATAGATACTGCAGATGGCTGACTCTTTTAATAAAGAATCAGCAAAATAAATTAAACCCCACGCAATTCAAAGTTTGCAAAATAAAACTAAAAGTAAAACGTCCTTATCATAGACATGTACATAAAAAGCATACCGTGATTTAATTAGGATATGTAACTATTTAACATTATCTTAATTAGTCCTATATTTATCTGATTGAAAGCACAGACACATGCCTATTTATTGGATAACGTGGGCCTATCACACCGTGACATATGGGTCAAAGCTTGTGCGTTTCCCTTTTCCTTTCTATTTTATACGGTGAAAAATTGCGACATCATATCGAGCATCTTAAATGCTGCCCATAAATCTCATGTGACTGGAGCCAGTGGAGTGAGTGCTGAGGGCCTCTCGGGTTTCCACACGTCTAGCTATAGGCCCGCGCACATGGTAGCATCCTCATTTGTTCACCTAAAAATAGTCCGAGACTACTAGACACATTTTTTCAAAACTCATGCATCTTGGTATCCGATACTGAGACGCAAAGCTCTGTAAATGGTGTTGCTCAAGGGTATATAAGGGCGAGGGTTCGGGGCCCCGGGCATTCGCTTGAATCTGCCTTGGTTTTCACTCGCCTCAACGCAGCGCAACAGGTGAGTCTGGAGCGAAGGCCACACTGCTGCGGGGGAGAGGGATTGAGACTAAGGAGCAGGCTTTGGACTAAAGACTGAAGACATAGTGAACATCTACAAGGAGAAACCCCAACAGATCGGAGGAACTACACTTATGTGGATCAGCGCTTTTTGTGTAGCTATAGATCATTTGGCAGTGGATAATACAATCGTGGACGCACTGCATCACTGCCTTTACAGCGCTGTTCTGCTGCTTGGAGGCTGTCCAGAGGAATTACCATCCATTTAGAAATCAAACAGACAGTCGGGATAATTAAACAACAACAACAACAACAACAAATAATTCTGAGTATGCCTAGTGCTCTTGAAACGCGCCCTGGTGGTTTTAGGTCATGGAAATATAACTAAAACATTTCCAAGGTTATTTTACTATAGCTGTTACAAGTGGTGCGAGTTTAAGTTGTGCTTCTCAAAGTTGAATCCAATAATACAATAGACTATTTATATGGTTTAAAACACACAATTTTTAGTGCCTGTAAAAAGTATTAGATAGTTGATGTAATGTGTTTCCATTTATTTATTTATTTCTAACAGAATATTTGTTTTTATGACAGAATAAAAAATGGCCTTCGCTGGTGTCCTCAATGATGCTGATGTCAAAGCTGCCCTTGATGGCTGCGCAGGTAAGCAGCCTTTCTCTTGGCACACACATGAGATCCCAGCACTGCACTAATATCATAAGCATTTTTAACAGTTTATTTCTATCAGTTGGTATTAATTAGCTGCATCCACAGAGGCTCAAATTCTCACTTGGGGAATGTGTTTCACAAACTGACAAGCTCAGTTCTCACATTACATCAACACATAGTGCTGTGTGAAACTTGTCCATTGGCCCATGTTAGGAGGAGGAAATAAAATAAATGTTGTGTGGCAGGAGCTGACTCCTTCGACTACAAGAAGTTCTTCAAGGCATGCGGCCTGGCCGCCAAGTCCGCTGAGGATGTGAAGAAGGCTTTCTTCATCATTGACCAGGACAAGAGTGGCTTCATTGAGGAGGCTGAACTGAAGTAAGACCCGTACTATAAAACTCAAAAAGCACATATAACCAATGTAAAAAAAACAAAAAATGATGTGATTTTAATTTTACATTATATTCACTGTACAAGAAACATACTGATCCTAATGCTTAGGAAGTCCATGCATTACACAAATCATAACTTTATGTTCCCTACATTTGTTAGAATTACCTTGTTGTAAGCCTCAAAAATGACAAAATGTTGATATATTATACAGCTGTGTGTGACTGAACATGTTTTCTGCTCTAGACTGTTCCTGCAGAACTTCTCTGCTGGCGCCAGAGCACTCACCGACAAGGAGACCAAGACTTTCCTGGCTGCCGGTGACAGTGATGGTGATGGCATGCTTGGAGTTGATGGTGAGTTTACTTTGAACATTACCACACAATTGGATCCACACAGTATCTAACCTCTTCTGTTTTTCCAAACCAAACCTCTATAAATACACTTACTCACTAATAATGGAATTGTGATGCTGCACTGCACACTTTATTGACAATATTCACTGATTCTTGGTCAAAGAATTGCTACCATAAGGGCATTTTCCTGACTGAACATTCTAATTGAGTTTCTCCCCCCACTAATAGATATTTTATTCTACTTTTTACAGAGTTTACCACCCTTGTAAAGGCATAAATTTCCATTGACCAAGAACTACTTTTCATGGAACTACGAACTCCTTCCAAGACTCTGTATCATCAGCTGAAAGAATATTTTTTATACCTTATTTATGAGTTGCCTGCAGAAATTTCTCAACATTTAAACATGTAAATTCATCTTGTAAAATGTTATGGAAATGATTTGTGCCAATTGTTCACCAAATGCACTTTTGAGGAAGAGTGAAAAACCAGGAATAAATACTCTTTTGCTGTAAAGTGAAATGGTTGTAGGCGATTATTTGTACATTGGACACTGCCTCTTTAGTGATGACAACACAGATGGTGGAACAGGCCTTCAGCTCTCTTATCCCATTGCTCTTGTGAAGCGGTGGGCAGCGTTGAAAGATTGATGGACCGATTTAATAATTGGTTAATGGGGCAGGGGAGTGGCCTCTGGACTAAAGCCATGAGAACACAAACCACACAAAGGGGGGGCTGCTCACTCACTCAGCCCACTACAAGCTTTTCACCTGATAGCTGTCACACATCGTGCAATGGGCAGCTCTGGTCCAAGGGCTTTTTCCTCCTACCAACTGCTGTGTAGTCAATTAGGTGATGTGCTGTGGCAACAAGAGGGCTATTCACAGTCAGGGTTGCATCAGCAAGTCTCTCCAGCAGCAGCACGAATCTGGTGCAGAGTTGCAGATCTTTAGCAAACTCAGGACTCCTTAAATCATTTACTGAGCAGACTTTATCTCCACTCTCATGACAGGGACATTCATAAAACCACAAGTGAATGAAGGCAGCTGGTCCTTTGGAATTCAGATGTGGGATTAAAGATGAGCTATATTACAATTTCAAGGATGATCAAATGACACCCTGCCCCTGTTACTGTAAACTGGTGTGCAAAATAAGTGCCAACCATTGCACTTGCACAGTAATGCTGTGCTGCCACCTACTGGTTTGAATGGTCTTTTTAATCAGTTTTTAAGTTTGCAAAACGTCAACGACAAGAAAAAAATATCTCCAGTTTTATGATTATTATTGATATTATATTATTATGTATGTTGGAGATGCTATAGATACAATAGTGTTTTATTTAATGATTTTAATTGTTTCTTTGTCTCACGTTTGACCAGCAGCACATCACAATCTATCACTACAACTAGTAGCAGTCACTTTTCATGACCTGACAATGAAAAAAAATACAAGGAAACCACAATGAACAAATAGGTATTCCAGTTGAAATAGCAAAATAGAGAAAAAGACAATAACTGTGACTTACACATAGAGCTGTGTCCACCCTCTAGAACACGGTGTGTGCATTTCTGATTCGCCCTCCTCAGCAGTGACCAGACCTATTCTTAGAGTGGGCAGAGGGGGGATATCACAGACTTCTTCAAACGCACCTTTTAAGCGTCTTCATTTGTGAAACTTAAAATAGAGCTGGTCTTTTTTCGCCAACCCCCTTCTTCTTCACGCGGTGTCAGTTGTCTAGTGCCTGATGTTCAGATGGAGAGGAAACTATAAAAGGTCATCAAGAGCAGCGGCTAAATCACTGCAGCAGACTTGAGTCTTGTCCGTGTCATCTGTACTCTACACACTGAAAACAGAAGGTGAGTGTAGACAAGACAGAAAAGAAAAAGGAGGAAAAAAGTGGGATCTGCATTTGCCAACCGCTGCATCATCTTTGAGGAAACTTGAACTTCAGGATTTATGAGGGATGCGTGGAGGATTACACCCGGGAGCAGCTATTGTTTCATAATAGCCAGTGGACATATTTTTTTGCTAGAAGTTACTACTTTTTGATGTTTTTCAATCTGTTTATTGAAGATATTTTTTACTCCCTCATTTTAATCATTTGCTTATCATGTTTTTGTGTTTTAGATAACAATGGCCTTCACAGGTGTTCTGAAGGATGCTGACATTGCTGCAGCCCTGGAAGAGTGCAAAGGTATTTTTAATCATAAATAATTGAATAAGACGGTTTACAGTGAATTGTGTCTTGTGTCTTGTGTTCTGAGTAAAGTGGCTGCATTACACCATGTTTTATTCAGGCGCAGACTCATTCGACCACAAGAAGTTCTTCAAAGCTTGCGGTCTATCTGGCAAGTCCGCTGAAGATGTCAAGAAGGCCTTCTTTATCATTGACCAGGACAAGAGTGGGTTCATTGAGGAGGATGAACTGAAGTAAGACTGCAGTACTATAGATCATGCGCTCTTAAAACCAGTCCATTAGTATCACATAATAATAATGTTATTTTTTCCCTGATCTTATTTGCATTGTAATACATTATAGCCAGTGTGGAAAGTCTAGTGGCACATTATAAACCTGTGATGTTAAAGCAGTGTCTTAAAGAAACCGAAGAACGTATAGTTTGCATGCCTTGTGAGCCAAGGTCACTTATTCATAGCAAGTATTCAGGTTCCTTACAGAAGATTAATGCTTCTCCACCTCTGCGAGCTCACATAACTGTTGTGAAATGGGCTCTCAACAGAACATGACTGACCACTGCTGTTGTTTCTCCAGGCTGTTCTTGCAGAACTTTAAGGCAGGTGCACGTGCTTTGACCGACGGTGAGACCCAGACTTTCCTCAAGGCCGGCGACAGCGACGGAGATGGCAAGATCGGCGCTGATGGTGTGTGTCCTGTAAAACACATTCCCAGGATGATTGTCACAAAATAGATTGACCAACTGTGCTGTGTGTTTGTTGCAGAGTTCGCCGCGATGGTTAAGGCATAAAGAGGCAACCGACCAACACCTGCTCTGATAGAACAACCTCCCCTTTTCATCTGAATATATAAATAATTTTTATACATTTGCTTGAAAGACAATTCCTCCTCTGCAACACACTGTCCAAACATGATTGTGAATGTCGCTCGGTTGTGTTCATGTCTTAAATATGAATTTTGCTTATTGTAAAATTTATGATGCACTTTCCAGGAAAGAACAGTTAAAAGAATAAATATTCTTTTGCTATGGTCCTGATCTACTTTAATTCATACAATGATATCCTTATAGGTCACAATACTAGCACACAGTTCCTCATCAATCCACACAATAAACCATAATAAAGATGTCAAAGCTAATTTGATCTTAATATACATAAAACAGATACATAGACCGCTCAGCAGAACTCTTACTATTGTATTAAAAATAATACAATTGCCATGAGTCTTGTTTCATGACAATGAAAGCTTGTATTTATTCATTTGATTGTTGATACATTTTATCCCGAAGGGAAAAGGAATGAAATGAATATTATAAAAAATGCTGCATAAAGTTATACATATTTTATGTTATAAAAACATGTCAGATTATCAGAATCAGAATCATTTTTATTGCCACGTAAGTAACAGGAAGTCACAGACTTGGAAATTGTATTGGCTCAGTGCAACAGTCCGAGAGAGATAATAAAAAATAAAGAATAGAATGATTATGGCCACTCCCATGTAAGTATTTACATGGAAAATACTTTTATAAGTGGATGTGTTCATAAACTAGAGATGTAAACACAGGAAAAGGGTTTGTGCTTCCGTTGTAATAAATACACTTTCAAACACAGGCAGGTGGATGAGGGTTAAGAAAGACTACAGTTATCTGCCACTAGGTGACGCTGCATCAACAGATGGTACAAGTTCAATTCAATCAGTAATTCAAACACATCTAAAGTCGAAACAGTAGCTCAAGTTCTCAGTTCTCAAAGAACATCAGAAAAGAACTAGGTGATAATAGACATCATTCATAATCATGTGTCATGTAAGTATCATAATATGTACAATGGACTATCATGGCCACAACAAATAGATTACATATTGTTTTATTATTTTATATAATATTTACAATATAACCAAGAAGTTTTTTTAGTTTTACTTTACAGTTGACCCATATAGGTTCATTTGGTCAGAAGGTAAATGTTGGTGTACGTTTGCACATGGTTTTCAGCAGGCATGTCCACTGTGTAACATCACCTTTACTTAAATGAAGCTACAAGACTACACAGACTGCTTGTGTTCCGGCCTATACATCCAGAGCTGGGGCTCACAGGACATTAGCAAATTTAAATGAATAAATGATCACTCAGTAACACTATAGGGGTGCGAGGTGTCAGACACTGACTGTGACCAATGGGCAGTGGTCACAGACTACACTTTACTAAACCTGTCCAGGTTGAACATACTGCACGCTCCAGCAGTACCAGTATCCGATTCATGTTCAACAGTTTTAATATTTGCAGCATATTTTGTTTATTTTTTTTGTTTAATATTTTTCAAAAACAAGAATTGGTACATCACTATGTTTATTGTTTTTTTTATATATATATGACAAACATGTTAAAAAGAGAAACTATGTATTTTTTTTCAAAAACTCTATTTTGTATCTCATATAGAAATGTTGCATACTTGTGACAATGCTCGTGTCACAAGTATGTGATAAAAAGTGAAAGCTTACCTTGATTAAAGGGAGAGCAGTATCAAACAGAGGTGATCAAAGTTTTTCTGATACTGTACTGTACTATGTTATTCATAAAAAATACTTTCATTTGACATGTTTAAAGGCACTAGTTGAATTGACGGAGGTGGTCCATTCATGCCCCAGGACCCAGGACCGCCTGTGAATGCGGTCTAGGATATCCCCCAGATCAACTTTCAGGAGCTACTTTAGGGACTAGTAAAGGCAACGTTGACACTGACTCAAGTGGTTCCATGGTGTAATGGTTAGCACTCTGGACTCTGAATCCAGCGATCCGAGTTCAAATCTCGGTGGGACCTGTTTTCCCCTGATGCATATTAATAAATTCCTTATGTATGTTTCATGCTAATGAATCTAATGGCCTCTCTTTGCGTCGATCCATTTACAAACCTTGAACTCACCTCCACAACCTTCTCTTTCTGCTGCGTCCACTCTCACAGGACTGTGTTTAATGACCCTTTCGTTTGTTGGTTTATCCGAGCAGCTGGGGGCTAAACATGCCCTCCACTGAGCCTCAACTGCAACTGGAAAAAAGCATTTTGTTAATACCATTGTGCATCAAATGTTATTGTAAATCAATAGTTCATTCATAAAGTTCTCATAAAATAAGGCCAAACCTCAAATATAACCTCATCTTTGCAGACAGTTGACAAAAAATTCAGAGAAGCCACTTCCACACCATTGTTACAAGTGCACGATGCAACTTTGAGTGGGAGGGCACGAAACACTTTTTGTCTAAGAAGATGCTACTGTTTTGCCTTAGAATAGCGTTGGATTTGATAATACAACTCTCTATGGAAGCAAAAGCAAAGAATGTATGCTATCAAAAATATCAGAATTGAATAAATGTATCAGTTTTTGGCAAACAATGCAACATTCCTGACAAAACAAAATCATTGTAATGAGACAAGCATCTGTCAGCCCTTCCACCAAAAAACTACATCATGTGTTTTATTTTTTATTTAAAAAAATGCAATGCACACATTTTCTCGTGGAGAATGTATGTGCATTGCATTATATTGACACTTACTAATGTGTCAATATAAATGTCATTGAATTGTAAAATGTTCCTCAGCCGGGCATTATCTGCGGAGAGGCGAGTCTGATCACTGGGGGAATTCAGGTTTTTTTGAGCAGTAAAAAACCTACCTATTTACCATTCTGCACATCTCATTCTATGCCCAAGTAAATCCAAGCAAAGCAATGACATCTCCATAGCAACAAGCAGGTGAACTCATAGACACCCCGTCAGAATAGTTGCATCTTTGAGAGTTCACTGTCGATGAGAAGGACCAGAGCAGGTCACACATCAAATGCAGAGGCTGAAGTACTAGTACAACCTGTGTCATGTTTACGGCCACAATAAGGATTTTCTTGAGAATATTTTTTGAAAGACCACAAAAAATTATAGATAGCTATGACATGTAAACACAATTATGCATTTTTGTTTTTAAACCTATGTATATAAAAAGTATGAACTTACTTTGTACTACATTCCCTAGAAAGTATTGTGTGGTATGACTCTACAAACTGCACATCTAGAGACTGAAAGCTTTCCCCATTTGTCTTTACAAAACAACTCAAGCTTTGTCAGATTAGATGAAGAGAATTTGTGAACAGCAGTGAGCCCAGATTTTCAATTAGATTTAGGTCTGGACATTCACTAGGTCCCTCTTTTATTCCGACTTTTTTATCATTCCATCGTAGCTCTTTCCTGCTGAAAGGCACATTTCCACTCCAGCCTCAAGTGTTTTCATAACTCCAGCAAGTTTACAATCTTTCCCTGCAGAAGAAAAGCAGTCCCATAACGTGACATATCTAACAATGGGGATGGTGCACAGAGGGTGATGAGCAGCCAGTTTTGCACCCAATAAAAGTTTTTCATTTGGGACATAAACTGAACTCGGCCTACCATTTGAATCCTGGTTGTGTACATCTAGTTTAGGTTAACGGCCGTGTATTGGTAAATTTGCAGTTGTGTCATATTCTTTGTAAATCTGTATTACTTCACACTGCTTTAAACATCTCCAAAACCTAAATTGTGACCTCTCTGCTCATAGGATTTCATGATGTTGTTTAGTGACCAGTACTTTAAACATAGCTCTGAGGCCGACACAGAACAGCTGAAATCATCATCATACAATCATGTGGTCATTCAGGTCAATAGGACATTTTCAAATTCCATTTAAGGCACTGTTCTGTAATGTTCTGTCTGTTTTATTAATTTATTTTTTTAAATGACCCAAATGATGTGCTGTTACGTGTCTGTTAATTTTCAGCATTTGTTATGTTAGTGGCAAACATGACAAAATGTGCAAAAGTAGTTCAGTAGTAGTCAGAAAGAATTACTTTACTACATCAATAATCAATTAAAAGCTAGATTTCAAATGTAAAGAATAGAAAGACATACTGTGGAATGTTCCAACTGCAAGGCAGAGAAATAATATTTATATTTTGGATCAGATTCGTCACATTCAGAAATTCTGTGGTATAATAGATAGCCAAAATATTGAGTTTGAGATGAGTGAAGACATGCAGTATTTCATCATGAATAAACAATATAGAGAAAAGATAGTGTGAAAGATGAAGACTGCAGTGGAATTTCCCTGCATTTAGGCTACTTCATGATGTTGGAGGTGGTAGTGGGAGGGGAGCAGAGTTGACACAGGAGAGCGTGGAAGAAAAGTAAGGAGGCAGAGGATGATACAGTGTTTCTTTTTTTTTTTTTCTTATTAGTTCATTTGTTTGCTACCAGGGCTTTACAGATGCCCAGGGTTTGTGTGTGCGTCTAGTGACGTTATACATAGTAAAGGTTAATTAGTTAGCAGAGAAATTGGATCAGGGGCGGGCTTTTTAAGAATTTGATCCACAGACAGGTAACTCAAGAGATCTCCATTGTCGCTGTATCCAGACCTATATAAATCCCGCGTTGACAGACACCACATCACCACATCGCCTTACCGCTGTCCTCCGCATCACTTCTCCCGCAAGAGAACTCACCGCGCACGGTAAGTCACTGCGGGGATGGACGCGTGGGGTACGGCTCTTCCAGGACACCGTTTCCTTTGAAGTGGCTTTTTTTTTTTTTTTTTTTTTTTTTGTCTTGCCTCGTTTTGGTGAAAGTTCAGATTGTAAAGTCTAACCCGACCAAATATTCAGCAGACATCAGAGTGAAGAAAACGCAGTGGATAGGGCGCGTTGGGAAGACATTTTATGAAGGAGTTATGTAATTTAGAAGTAAGTTGGTGGATTGCATGGAAAGGTTTATGTGAGCATCAATTTATCCAACTTCTTAAAGGGACAGTAGCCCTTTTACGTCCCACGTCTTTTTTCCTCCTTGGGACTGCTCCTGTATTTTATGTATTTGGGGTATACGCTGACATTCTCTTTTTATGTGTCTTTACAGGAAAAAATATGTCTCTCACATCTGTCCTCTCTGCTGATGCCATTGACAGTGCTCTCAAGGACTGCCAAGGTATGCACCACTACTGCTCTATATGTATATGTATACTTCACCAACAGGGATGTATGCTGTTATGTTAATGCTTTTCTTGCAGAGAATATGACCACATATAGCAGAGCATAATAGATATAATTCCATTTTAATTTCCAGTTTTTCTATACGTTCTATTTGATACCAAGTAATTCAATGTAGATCAATATTGTTATCACTTCAAACATAAACGTACCAACCACCATTTCTTCTCGTAGCTCCAGACTCCTTCAGCCACAAGAAGTTTTTCCAGCTGTGTGGCCTCTCCAAGAAGAGTGCAGCTGAGGTGAAGAAAGTCTTCGCCATCCTGGACAATGACAACAGCGGCTTTATTGAGGAGGAAGAGCTGAAGTAAGTTTATCAGCAAATTATTATATTATTATTATTTTTTACCATGTAGCTGTGATTTCAAAGACATTGAAGTTGACTTGCAGGCATAATTGGAGATTCTGTATTGATCAAGTGGCTGAATGTGAATGTGGTGGCTTGGATCTTAAAAGTAATTGATGGTGGTCAACCAGATCAAGACCTGCATATAAGTGATTACACCAGTGGCATTGTTGCATTTTTCTAACCTGGGATTTTCCGGTGTTTGTGCTCAGGTTCTTTCTGCAGCGGTTTTCCCCTGGTGCTCGGGCCCTCACAGATGCCGAGACCAAAGCCTTCCTGCGCGCTGCCGATTGCGACAGCGATGGCCGAATTGGAGTAGATGGTAAATAAATGCATTGAAACGTGCATAAACTTGTGGACAATGCAATACTTTGAATAACGCATGTATACCTAAACATTCTCTCTCTCCTCTACAGAGTTCCAAACCATGGTTTTGTCATAAAGCCTTCTGGATCTGCCCCATCCCCTGCTCTAAGGGCTCTTTAGGTGTGATGAATGAAATCCCTATACTGATTAGAAACGACACTCCTCTTATTCCATGTAACGTAACAAAAGTATCTCAGGTCCTCAAAGATCAACAATGTCAACATCATTCTCCTTTTCATTTGTGTAAACTGATGATGATGATATATGCACGCCTGAAGACTTAATAAAAAATAAAATCCAACTATTGTAAATGCGTGTTTACTGAAATAAAAAACGGTCTTGTTTGTAAGCTTGAGATGCCGTATGCAAACCAGGCTGTTCTTTATGGGTGACAGCGGTGTTTAGTGATCAAGAAGGAAGTAAATACGGCTTTTAGTGTTGGGTGCATAGGTGGCTGGGGTTAGCTCACAGGGCAGGAGTGTATCTTTTTGAGAATGAGAGAGAGTCCAGCGAGGCAGAAGTGAAGGCGCTGACCTTGAAGAGCACCTGAGTGACATTTCTGTATAGGATCGGGTAACTCCTGACCTCAGCTTTGTAAATAAACCCACTTGAACTCCCGGGGAGAGCTGAATCAGAGCTATGAACCAGCGCAAAATTAGACAAATACTGTGGATACATGAAACTGACAGTATCTTTATTTCCACCAACGCAATCATTCGAGAATTAAAAGCATATACACGTATTCATCACACCAGCTTAAGAACGAGTGATTGTGTCTGATCTCAGAATTCATGATGATTAATTATATAGTCTTTGTTTGAAATTGAGTATACCTACTGTAGATTGATGCTTAAAAGAAACCTAAAGCATACATGTATGTGTATTACTAATTATTAAAATGACAAATTTACATGTTCCTGTATTTTGCCAGAATTGAAATGACCAGTATATGTAATCTAATAACTGCTTCCATACTGTCTAAAAGATGAGATAGGATAGGCAGTAATCCCTAACTCTGACCATATGATAATGATGATCATGATAATACTTGAAAATGTTTCACCAAAATAAACCAATCAATATAGTCTGTCAGGGAGCAGTTTGTGTGAAATTGTAGACATATTTTGAGACGTACAGTATGTCAAACCAGGAAGTTCTATGATGACATCACACTAGGCCAGAGATGCGGGATACAGTCAGAATAAAGAATGTTCGTGTTTTTTTTATTGGATAATTGTTTTCATATTTAATCTGGCAAGCTATTCTACAGGTATTGCAGCTAGGTTCCTTTTCCGGACTCCCAAGTGTCGCTTAATCTTTGATATACAGAGATTTGTTGTTGTTTTTTGAGTATAGAGCTAATTGTACTTGATATTAATTTCTTATTTCTTACTGTGTTCTCCCAATTCTTGTTACTGTTCTGTATCCTGTGATGCAACAATGAAATTTCCCCAATGTGGGATGAATAAAGGATCTTTTAATCTTAACCTCTCAAAGGCACTGTTTGGGAGAATTTGGCCTTGATGGGTCATGGGACATGGGAGTGGTAAGACCCAGGTTGAAGTATTATATACCTCAGTGACAGAAAATAAAACCTTAAAAACCTTAAAAACCTCATTGCACATTTAGACGTTGTGTTGTCAATACAATACAGCAATTATAAAAGAAGCATGGTTTTGTGTTCTCCCTTCTCTACACCTGGTCAACTTATAGTTGTGTGCCAATGGTCTGTCCATCTGAGTTCTTGGCAGGATTAAGGTTTTACCACTGCACATTGGTTTGAATGGAAAATTTAAGATAGGCCCAATAGACATCCATCACCTCAATATTCCCCTTTAAATAGTATGTAGCTCCATTCTCTACACTTACTGGATTAAAATTAACCACCACCTCACTGTCAAACCGCCCACTAGATGCACCAAAATACAGAGTAGCGCAACACGTCTTTTTCAGAATAGGCCAACTCATAAGGTCTGTGTTATCTTGATTATATGTAGAAGCTGATCATTAGCCGTCTACAGATGCTCACCACTCCAAGTCCAACCGGGTATTACCTGAAGTCACTGGCACACATGCAGCAGATGGAGTCATAGAGATGGAGCCTTGATTTAGAGTGTGCACCATGACTTTTGTTTCCTTTGCACCCACACGAGCAGTTACATAAAAATGTAAAAGTCAGCGTGAGAGGGGAGCTTTTAGAGTAGAGGAGTAATATTGTGCAGCAGACGAAGAGATAAGAAATTGTGAAGATGCCTCTGTTTATTGAAAGATGACATACTTAAACCACATCTATCTTATTTGTTTTTATTCTCCTCACATTCTCCTGAAAATGCAATCGCTTAGCCAATCAGCTCTCAGTAGCCATATGTAGAAGATAAAGACAGCATATTGTGGTCTGATTCGTTCAGACCATAATATTGTTTGTGGTCTCTTTGTTTATGAAACATCGTCTTTAAAACTTTAACTCACTGGATTATTTGTTGGAAAAACAACATAAACTTGTTGTGCTTCTATGTTTTCATCATGTAAATATACATATAACACAATTGCAGTTTCAAACCTTTTACACCTGCTCTATATGAACCAGGCTGGAGGTATCAGCCGCCACTTGAATGGTGCTGTGACCCCGGTGGGTCAGGAGTTGTAAACAGGAATGAAACGTGATCTATTGACACTAACTGCCGATGAGGCAGCAGTGAACGTACAGCTATCCCACATAATGTGATGAGTACGTACAGAAGCAGAGGCCTTTGGTGACATAGGTGAGCCAGCAGAGTGACATGTCCAAGATTCAGACCAAGATAACCGTCCGTTTCCACTCGATAATGTATAACTCCATGCAACTTCAAACCCAAAGGGGAACTACTTCTTAACAAGAACACCCTTACTTGAGTGCTTCGGTGGCTCATTGCAGATAGCTCTACTGCACTACTATGGAGCATCAGCTGCAATTTTAAAATAATGTATGCCACTCAATGATGATTATCATTTTATTGAGAATGCACTTTTCAGGTGAAGACTCTGATGGTAAGTGAAACAGTATTACAACAAAAACTCTTAGTTTATGGAATAAAGGAAAATCATTAAATTGCAAATAAATGAAGTCATTGAGGCTGAAGCATGAATAAATAATTGACATCTGAGTGCAATGCTTTCTTAGAACTTTTAATGAAGGTTCTTGGAAAACTCAAAAAAGAGACCATGCCCTGGCAAAGTAAATGAGAGACAAAACATTTAGGAGAAGCATCTACAGTATAATTGTCTTGCATTCTATATACAAATTCCTAGGAAGTTGAAAACCTAACTAGGTGCACCATTGAGAGTTTACTTGTTGGTTCTGTGTCTGTGTGGTTTGGAAACATCACAGATAAAGAAAAGAGAGCGTTAAACAAGGTGCTCTGCTCTGCAAAGAGGACCATGGGCTGTGAGCTTCCTGTTCTGGAGGTTCTTTATAAATCCAGACTTTTAAACAAAGCTCTTAGGATTATCAATGACATTTGTTTACTGTTTTATTTGTTTTATTTTTGTCTTTTAATGTTGTTTTATGTCTGTATTTGTCTGTGCACACTGGAGACTTTTTGCTAATGTATTCCAATGTGGTTCTTTTACTGCAAATGGCAAATAAAACTGAATCTGAATCTGATCCTGGTCTAAAGAATAAACAATAAAAACAGAATAATTTGAGTGTTTTTTATTTAAGAAATTATTTGTACTATCTGGTTAAAGTTAACTTAAAAATATTGTTTGCATCAAACAATTAAATGAGTATACAATTTAATAATAAAACAATATTCTCTCTAAAGATCATTTTATCACCCCAGCATGATGTCCTGATCCTTACTTTGGGAACCGTTGATCTAATCGATAGAAATCTTCTCCTGGAGGGAAGACGCTGGAACAATGCTTTTCCGGGATGCTCCAAATTGGACCTGTTTATTGTGCATGGTGCATTACAGTATGCATTCTAATCCATTGTGTGGGATGGACAGAGCCTACTGTCTGCTTGACTATTTCAATAATTGATGTCTTTCATTGTCACAAAAACTCATATCAAGAAAGGAGTGTCTGTCTCACCTTACTGATTAAGGATGTGAAACTTTAATGAGGACGCTCTGTCTCTTAAAAGTGTGTTTGTGTGAACACAGGTCACTGGGCACTGTACTTCCCATGGGACCAAAGGGTGATCACATTTAGACCAGACCGTAGTGTTTGGGATGTTAGGGCTACTGGAGATGCAGCTATCTGATAGTCTGAACGCTGAGGAACATCGTGAAAGATTTAACCTGCGTGTTAGGATGACTGAATGGGCTGAATGAGCTCTGTGGAGGAACTCTATCCATAATGCAGAGGATGACAACACTGCTTCTGTTCAGCAGCAAACAGTTGTCCTGATACTACTTATGATGTACCGTATGTAGTGAGCACAGGTCACTTTATTAATGAAGGATAAAGTTCACCGTGCATCAATGGCAGGTCTATATTCAGCAAAGGCAGTGTGTATTCTATTCAAGGTATTAGGCCAATAAGAGAGCTGTTCATTTTTGTCATTTCAGGTGAAGAGAGCTTAAATTTTCAAAAGAATGTCCTGTTTACAAAATAGGTTTTTATTTCTGCGTATATGTTTAAATGCCTGTGACAGACATAATGCCGTTTTGTGCTAAAGCCAGAGATGCACTTGCTTTTTCATTATGCTCAAGTTAGAGTTTACATTTTATTCTAGTATAGAGTTCTTGTTAATTTATTTTGTGTTGTGTGCTCCTCATTCTTACTGTTCTGTAACTAGTGCTGCAACACTGACATTTCCCCACTGTGGGACGAATAGAGGATCTCTTAATTGTTATCCTTACCATCAGACACCCTTAAAGACCATTTACATTTTGCACACTTTTTTTACTCTTGAAAAATTATGGCAACAGTCGGACCTCCACTAGGGGGTTATGTTTTCATCGGGGTTCATTTGTTGTTTGCAATAAAACTCAAAATGTAGAAGCCATATTTTTATGAAAGGTTCAAAACATTTCGGAAATGGGACAATACATAAATGAATAGATTATGCAGGTGATCCAGATCACTGTCTGGCGCCAGGATCATTTTAGGGAATGAAACTCTAGGAATTTTTTGCTCGTAAAATATATTGTGTTCAAACATAATTTGACACAGTTATGTATAGTTTTTAAATGAATTATAATTATGTATAAATTATTCAACATTCACTGGAGCTCTTTTTATTTCAGAACTCTAAAGGTCAGCACTATGTTCCAGGAGCTCCTGGGGCCACATCCTTTCACAATTCCCGATCAAACCTAAATATTACAAGTCACATTTAACCTGAATAGCACAACGAACACACACAAACTGTTGAAGCTTTTCAGTTTTCAGTTTAGTTGTCCCTTTCCAGTCTATGGTATGCTTTAACCACTAAAAGGAGCTCTTCAAACAAAATAAATCAGATAACAGCTGTAACTATCAAGTATGTCAAATCTTTAAGCTTAAAAAAGTGTAAAACTATAATTGCACTTATATATATTGGAAGGCCTTAAAAAGTAATGCAATTAGTAGAATGGGGATCTGAAAGGATGGCTATTTGATGGGACTCAAGGGGATGCCTGGAAGATACCAATTAATTGCACCACTATATAATTAGAAATCATAAATATGCGACATACACATTTTCTAGGATGTTAGTAAAATATACACGAAGGCAACATATTTAAAATAAAACTAGTTAACGTGACCACTTCTCTACACTTTGCAGGCCGGAGGCGCCCTCTAGTGTAGACAAGTGATATCGGTTTTTTGTGCATTGGGGGAAAGAAATACAATTCAGTATATGTTCCAATATTCTAAGTAAACTAAATACAACTACAATCCGAGGAGGGAGAGTAAAACGTGTGTTTCTTGTTGTTGTCGTTGCTTTTGTTTCCTGTGAGGCGGATGTGACGCGTTGGGGCCTGTGGATCACTTCCGAACTGTTGCTGCTGCCTGTCAACATCCGTGAGCTGCGGGTATCCGTGGCCAGGACCCAGTTACATTGGAAAGGTTCGGGTCCAGTCGTCGCTATGTCCATGTACCAGGTAAAGCCCGTGTGTGGCGGCCACATGCACGTAGATTTACCCACGTGCATGTACAACATACCGAATATTCACGCGCAGCCCGGACCCGGCTCCGACCACGCGCTTCAGGTAATTGCTAGCTACTACGGCTACTTCTACTTTGGTTATGCTAACTGGTAACGACTTTGATGACATTGCAAATACAGTCTGCATGCTATCCAATGTAAATGATATAAAATGAGATTGTAACCTGCGGTGGACCATTGCTCACAGATCATGAGCAGTGCAGGGCATGATGTTTCGATGTAAACTAGCTCGTTAGCTAAGACGGCTTCTTAACCTCAGTCATTGAATCTTTTGTTGTATTAATGGTTGTGTTTTAAATTAATTGAAACACATGGAATTGTTTAGAATATCTTACAAGCCTAGCTACCTACATGCAGTCCTATCTCATTCTCAAGTCATGTGTGTGTTATGGTATGTGGTACCAGTGTGGGTTGACATTCTTTACACATTTCTTATTCTTTACACATTTGATGTCTTTTTGGCCATAGAACGGTGAAGTGGACCCCGCTGTGAAAGCCCTTGAGGCTCGTCAGGATGAGATCATGCGCAAACTGTACGAGCTGAAGGCAGCAGTGGAAGGACTGGCCAAGACTGTGACCACCCCAGACGCAGATCTGGACTTGACAGTCAGCAGCAGCTTTTCTTCCCAGAGCCCCACCACTGCAGCCTTCAGAAGCCCAGCTAACCTGGAATCACTATTGGGAAAAGTAAAATCCATTCATTGTACCTCGTACCTTAAATGTTGTTCCAATCTTTTTGTAATTGTAATAACTATATTGTTATTTAAACTGTTGAGTGTCTTCTACTATAGATGTGTAACTGATTCTTAACTGTCTATTTGCTCTGCTCTTGTGTCACTAGGACCTCGGTGCGCTTCGTGACATTGTGATTAATGCCAACCCGGCTGAGCCACCACTAACTCTGTTTGTGATCCATGGCCTCCTGTGTCAACGTTACCGGCTTTTATCATCTGTCCATGTCCACTCCTCTGTAGCTAGTGTACCGCCACAGCTTCTGTCCTGCCTCGGACCACGTCATGCAGATAGCTACGCTCGTCAATTATTCCAACTCGGCTTCACACTCATATGGAAAAATGGTAATGGTTATAAATCTAGATTCCGGGTGTCAAACTGGTTCTAGAACGGGCTGGTGTGGCTTCAAGAATTTCAATCCAACCAAGCAGTCTGATGTGCTCCTGCTTTGTTGGACTGAAATCCTGCAGCCACACCTGCCCTTTAAAGTTTGACACCCCTGATCAAGATCCTGTCATTCAGTTTAATGCATTTACTCATTGTTGTTTTCCACAGTTCCAAAACTCCAGATGAAGTTCAGCATTCAAAACATGTGTCCCATTGAAGGAGAGGCCAATGTAGCACGTTTTCTCTTCAAGTTGCTCAGTGTTTATCCATCTGACCCTGCTCAGGCAACTCTAGTGGATAGTTGGGTGGACACTGCCTTTTTTCAGCTGGCAGAGGGTGGTCCCAAGGAGCAAGCAGCTGTTATGCGTGCTCTTAATTCGTCACTAGGACGAACCCCATGGCTGGCTGGGTCTGACTTCACTCTGGCAGACATTGCATGTTTCTGTTGTATGCAGAAAAGTGGCTCTGCTTCCTCTGCTCCTGCAAATGTCCAGCGTTGGTTCAAGTCTTGTGAGAATCTAGGCCATTTTAATCATGCAAAGTGTCTACAGTGACATTAACTTTTTTGTAACTAGGACAACATTGGCAAGCAAGAGAATTGACAAACTTTTCAGGTTACTATAAATATTATGTAACTAAACTAGAAAGCCTTTGACTAAGATGTCTAATCTATACATGACAGAACAGATACTGTTTTAACACATAAGAGGAAGTCGTTTTAATAAATAAATGCAGCGTAAAGGGACGGTGCATACACCAATTTACACTGATCATCCACATTGTGCCTAATGTGTGTGTGTGTGAACTAAACAAGTAATGAAATATCTGTATTCTGGTAGTAATAAAGTATTTGGATTAAGTATTGTGTGTGTGTGTCTTATATTTTTTTAATCATTCTCATTTGCTGTTGAATATGGTTTGGTCCATATCCATAATTAAGTTCACGGTATGGTAAGAGATGAAATAATGCATCAATAGGCCATTATTACAAGAAGTGTTCAAAGAACGATATTTTTTAATTTAAAGATGTTTATTTTTCATAAAATAAGTGAAGGTGCACATTGCACAAAAACTTGATGCTTGTGTCAAACTAGAATCAAATAAATATTGTTTTAAAGCAAGACTCGAGTTTTATACATAAATCCAGATGCATTCCCAAATAAATTGAAAAAGCCTTATACTTAAGTAACTCTAGGTCTAGGACAACTAAAAATGTTTCCACTTGATGCGATTGTCAGTTACCACATTCCATACACAAAGGCAATTACTGAAGTGAATATGCAAACAAAGCAAAGACAGTTTATAGAAGGTTAACTTAGGTGATATAGTCATGAAACATTTGATCCTGCAAATGAAGAATGGTTATGAATATAATCAAACAGTTACTTAGCAGCTGTGTACAGATGACTGTTGTATTTCAAGAGCTGAATACGCTCAAAATACCCATCAGTAAGAATGTTTCTCTGACAGTTGACCAGATTGCCTTTCTGACTGAAGAGGCGCTGCACTGGGGCTGTGGAGGGCAGCATTGTGTTGTACTTGAGAAATAGCTGCTTGACTCTGGGAAAGTCTTGTAGACACTCCAGGGTCTTTCCTGTTCCTTCAACATATTTCTTAATCTCTTCAGTCACAGTTCGTGACTGCACTTGAACTGGCGGCTTCACGGGCCCATAGTTAAAGAAGTCATCCTCAGACTGAATGGTCGGTAGAGTTTCAGTGCTTGCTCCATCTCCAACCACACTTAGATCCACCTGGGAGGCCATTGAAGCAAGTAAAGCACACATCTCCTCTCTCTCAGAGGCTGCCATCCACCAGAGTCGAAACTGTGGGGTAGTTGCAGTTGCGATCTTTGCCTCTGTGCTGGAAAACAGCTCTTGAAAGCGCAGATCAATGGCCACAACAATAGCATTTATAACATCCCCGAGGTAATTTGCTGCATCTTTATGCTCATTCAGCTTGGTCTTCAGGCTGAGAACAGTTGGAATCACCAGACCAAAATAACATTTTTGTTCTGCTTGAAAAAGTTCAAGTGCAAAAGCAAGTGGGTGGAATACAGTCACATATTCTTTGAGGAAGGCCATTTCCTCTGGCTGCAATCGCTGGAGTTCAAGACGAGCACAGAGCTCTGTCAGCTCACGCTCACTGAGTGAGACGATCTTCTGAACAGCACAATACTCCACATTCCAGCGAATGACATTGGGAACAACAAGAGCCATCTTGCCAATCTCCTCTGCACAGCCCATGCCAACTTGTATGTGATGACATTTGTTCCATATGCTGTAAATCTTGGACATGGCGCTATAATGCAGCTGACACATGGGTCCCTGTGATATAGCTCTCCAAAAGTCTTCTGTGACAATGTGCTCCAGCGTGTGTGAGGCACAGCGCTGGACGGGAGGCAGGAACAGCAGCATGTCCTGCTCTGGCTCTCCATCCAGCACAGCACTTACATTCTCAAAGTGACCTATGTCATCCTTCTCTTGGTTATTCAGACCAAACTCCTTGAAAACACTGATGAAAGGGCTACCGTTGTCAGTAAATGTTGTTTGTACTTTGCTTTCAATATTGTAAGCCAGGTGGATATCATGCAGGCGTCCAGTTGTAGTCTCATAAGTTATTGTGCCTTGAAGCCTGGCAAATCCCACAGCTGCAGACTTCCTCTCCAGGGAGTCGGGGTCAATCCAGTGGCATGTCATTCCTAGAAAGCTCTCTCCATTGGCTGTCCAGATATCCGCAGTAGTGCAAACATATTGGATAGTGGTGAGTTTTGTCATCAGCTCCTCACGCATTTTGGAGAAAGCCAGGTCAACCTTTGTGAATAAGGTAACTCTGTCTGTAACCTTAAGCCCCTCACTTAAGCCAGCAATTAGTTTTTTGAAGCCAGTCTGTTCCAGAAGATAAAACGACTGACAGTCCTCTACAACAAAGTCAAAGATAAGATCGTCAATCCGTGTTTGAGTCAAACATTTGGAGAGTATTTCTGCTTTTATCTTTTTAAGTTGGCAGTGGGAGCTTTCGTCTCTCCTTGCCCTCTTGGCATCAGGTCTGGCATCGCAGCCCAAATGTGTTCTCTGAAAAAGAGAAATAATAATAGCGCTTTAAGTTGTGTTGTTGTAGTAGATTCAGACCGCACTGCAAACTTCAGTGCAACAAACTTGCACCGACAGCAGCACTCTACCCTGTTACAGACAGTAAAACAGCGCACAAGGCAGACATCTTGCAGAGCCATGGACAAGTAATAGACAAGCATACGTGTAACGTAACTGGGTTATATGCTACAGAGTTTTACGCATCACCTTACATGTTTACTCTGTTTACAGAATGCTATAGGACTTACGTCTAAGTGCTTCTTTAGATTGGAAGTGGATGTCTTCGATGTGGACAAGAGATTAACCTTCGGAAGGCATAGATTACATTGGACGATGATATTTTTTCCTTGGTCTGCCTTGTACGTAAAATGGTGGCGGTAACGCCAAGAATTTATTGCCGTTTTGGTTTCGGTGGTGGTATCATTTTGAACCACTTCCATTTCGGACACTTTGGCGTTAAAAACAGAGGTCTTGATATTGGATAAAAGTAGCGTAATCCTATTTAGTAATGAATACTGGTAAAAGTAACGATGGCGGCGGAAAGATCCTCCTGAAAAGGGGGCTGGTCTTTGTTCAACGTGGGCGAGAACATGATGCCGTTGACGCACCGAGCGTGCACTAGACACAACAAGGGCACGTTGTCCAATATGTTCACTAGCTCCTCAAAGCATTCAATCCCTTACTGCGCATGCGTAAAATGCGCCCACAGTGAAGACTTCTGCAATACAGGGGCGAGGCACGCGTTTGTTCCCTCGGGCTAGTGTTTACAGCTGGAGTCGAGATTTGAGGATACAAGTGCGTGTGCTCAAATGAACGCCACAACGCATGCGCACAATAGTCTTATCGCGTTCTTTTATCGGCCTCTTGGCGCCATCTACTGGCGTACAACGATACCTTATGCTATGAATTTCACTCAGAGGTTTATATATAGACCACACACGCGGCATGTACCGTCTAAAATGTGTTTTCATCCCAAATAAAATGCAAACAAGAAAACAACAATGAGCTCGCGAACACTCACTTTCATGGGCTACGTTATTATAGTGCATGTATTTTTTCTTTTAGTCTGATTTAGGTAACCGGCAAATGTGCGTAACAATGGGAGGGAACTCTCGTTTTTTTGTTTGTTTTTTACTGATTTTTTCAATTTGATAGCTACCGTTGTCTCATGAGACATGATGAGAGATTATAAGTATGTCTATCACGGACAAACACAGATCTCTAAAAAGCATGGGTGTTCATTAAGTTTATTTGAAAGTTTCATTGGCCGTTCTCTCACATCTTCGTCATGAGACATGACGTGGGCGGGGTTTTACTTAACGCGCGCGTGTGTGTTTCCCAGTAAAAAGTAATTGCTTGTGGAAGATGAAATCAATTGACTACAGCCGAAAAGTACCAAGGAGGTCATTTGGACCAACAGGCTGGGTGATCTGCGCGCCCTGTCTGGTGAGCTCTAGACATCTGTGGATTATGTGAAGTGGGAACAGGTGGGGTCCTCACGCTTCTCCTTCTGCTGCCAGCCAGTGGTGAAGATCAGATTCTCTTCTGCTCAGTTTTTTGCGAGAACTGTGTAAGGCTATGTGGCACTATGGCTTGGTGTGAGCGCGGGGTTCAAACATTGTTGGCCACGGTGGGCGCTTTCGCTGCCTTCAGTCTCATGACCATCGCCATCGGCACGGACTACTGGCTCTACTCACGGGCATATATATGTAACAGCACCAATTTAACTGCAGATGAAAGTCAGCTGCAGCCGAAAAGCAAAAAGGGGGACTTGACCCATTCTGGTCTCTGGAGGATCTGCTGCATAGAAGGTAAACTCTCGTCTGTGAGCACCTGCACCATTACGCACACACTTGATGCCAGTTTATTTGATGGTCTTGATTACTTTGAATTACATTGCCCTGAAACTTGAGTCATTTGGAGGGATATATGTTTTTTTCCAAAGAGAAACAGATACTGCGTAACATAGCTTTTGTTAAACAGAGCTGTCTAAAGATGTTTCAGATCAGAACGCGCGCGGATGGCAGCGGCTCACCCAGAACAGAGAACCGCGTGGAAAGAAGCGCGTCGAGCGCATGTGGCGCCGGTCCCTAAATGTGCGCGCTCTCGACTTTCATTCATATCTCCTTATCCAATGCTGTCGCTTGGCAACTTCTATGGAATTGCTATGGAAACATGACCAGTGCTTTAGAAATATATTACTCTTTGTACATGTCAAAAAGCACATACCTTTTACAAAAATTGGATGATCATGATAAAGTAATGTAGCGCTGAGTATAAACTCACTCGTATTAAGTTCTTGATAATAATTTCATGTAGCTTTGGAACAGTCTTCCTGAAAATGAGAGATTCTTTACTCTGACAACGCTCAAGTCTAGGTTACAACAGTTCCCTTTAGCTGTGTGTAAACTGAAATATTGTATCCATATTATACATTATTTATTTGTAATCTCCTTGTATGATTTTCCTTTCTTGTTTTGTAAAGCAAATTGAGTTGCATGAATTGTGTAAAAGGGCCTTTACCTATATTATTATTGATAATAATATATTATTATTATTATTATTGATATATACTCAATGATATTGGTGCCATTATTGCTAGTTTTAGGCCTGTTTTTATTATTCCTGCTATAAATATTGTTTATATTTTAGACTTGTGTCTAATGTTTACAATATGAATGAAGTAATTTCCTAATAATAATTTTGTGATGGCTTGAGTTTACACAACTTAACATAACATGAAGATATTGTACTCTTGCAAATGGAACCTCTGTGTCTCTAATAATTCACTGATGGTGAACAACGATTGTAAATTGATGGAAGACATGGATATATCATAAGTCATTCAGACACACAGATTTAACTCTGGTGCTTGTTTTGGGTTGATGGGAAAAATAGAACAGCATAAGACATGGTTGAAACTCTAAACCCAAACAGGCTCTGACCTCCACCATGACCTGTGATCCTGAACCTGCGACCTCCATGCTGTCACTGTGAGCTCTCCACACTCTTTGCAGAATGAAACAAGAAAGGACTGTTCAAATTCTGGATTACAACATTATAGCATAAACTACCTGGGTCATGAAAAAGGGGGATCTGTTTGCGTTCATAGTTTATGTCTCTTCAAGCTACTGGACAGCAGCTCTGTTGTCATGGAGACTCAAAAGTAGGATCAGTAAACAAGACACACACACACACACTATTGACGAGGGCAGCTCTGCTATTATAAAAGTAATCACAGATTATGATCACAGATCATTGAACCTGGCATGAAAGTCTTTACAAATTTTAACTAAATATAAGATTTGACTGAAACTGAACTTGGACTCACAACCCTAACCTTTACCCTATCCTTAACCCTGAACCCAACCCTAGACAGTGATCCTGGGCGGTGGATTATTTGCTGAGATCGGAACATACATATTGTTTATCACTGTACTCAATAATCCGTGAAAACGTGACGTTTTAAACAATTATAATTTTTTGTCATCTGTTAAAACTTTTTTTCCCACTAATACACTCACACTCCAAGATGTCTTTGCACTCGTCAGCCACAAGAGTCTGAACACACGGTGCACCTTCATCTGGATTGAGGAAAAATACTTGAGAGTTCTGTTTCTTGAGATGTAAACTGACTTAAATGACTAATAATAATAATGACTTGTTCACTTGTTTGGTGGTTTTACATCCACAAATAAAGGTTTGTGGACAAAGAGTGACAAGATTTTATTGTGAATAGCTAATGCATGATACAGGTCCTTCTAAAAAAATTTGCATATTGTGATAAAGTTCATTATTTTCTGTAATGTACTGATAAACATTATTCTTTTAATATTGATGAATTTGGCCTAAAAAAGTAAAGAAAAACCAAAATTTCCTATCTCAGAAAATTAGCATATCATGAAAAGGTACTCTAAACGAGCTTTTAACCTAATCATCTGAACCAACGAATTGATTCTAAACACTTGCAGAAGATTCCTGAGGCTTTTAAAAACTCCCGGCCTGGTTCATTACTCAAAACCACAATCATGGGTAAGACTGCCGACCTGACTGTTGTCCAGAAGGCCATCATTGACACCCTAAAGCAAGAGGGTAAGACACAAAGACATTTCTGAGCGAATAGGCTGTTCCCAGAGTGCTGTATCAAGGCACCTCGGTGGGAAGTCTGTGGGAAGGAAAAAGTGTGGCAGAAAACGCTGCACAACCCAAAGAGGTGACCGGACCCTGAGGAGGATAGGTGGAGAAGGGCCAATTTCAGACACTGGAGGACCTGCGGAAGCAGTGGACTGAGTCTGGAGCAGAAACATCCAGAGCTACAGAAACCAAAAACAGATACAGCAGCAGAAGTGCCTGACCTGGGCTACAGAGAAGCAACACTGGACTGTTTCTCAAATGTCAAAAGTACTTTTTTCAGATGAAATCAAGGTGCCAGATTCTGGAGGAAGACTAGGGAGAAGGAAATGCCAAAATGCCTGAATCCAGTGTCAAGTACCCACAGTCAGTGATGGTCTGGGGTGTCACGTCAGCTGCTGGTGGTGGTCCACTGTGTTTCATCAAGGGCAGGGTCAATGCAACTGGCTATCAGGATATTTTGGAGCACTTCATGCTTCCATCTGCTGAAAAGCTTTATGGAGATGAAGAATTCATTTGTCAGCACGACCTGGCACCTGCTCACAGGGCCATAACCACTTGTAAATGGTTTACTGACCGTGGGATTACTGTACTCAATCGGCCCGCCAACTCTCCTGACCTGAACCCCACAGAGAATCTGTGGGATATTGTGAAGAGGAAGTTGAGAGTCACCAGACCCAACACTGTGGATGAACTTAAGGCCACTATCAAAGCATCCTGGGGCTCCATAACACCTCAGCAGTGCCACAGGCTGATTGCCTCCATGCCTCGCCTCATTGAAGCAGTCATTTCTGCGACCAAGTATTGAGTGCGTAACTGAACATCATTATTTGAAGGTTGACTTTTATAGTATTAAAAACAATTTTGTTTTATGGGTTGGATGAAATATGCTAATGTTTGGTTTTTCTTTACTTTTTTGCTAAAATAATCAATAATAAAACAATAAAAGGCTTGAACTACTTCAGTTGTGTGTAATGAATCTAAAATATATGAAAGTCTAATGTTTATCAGTACATTACAGAAAATAAGGAACTTGATCACAATATGCTAATTGTTTGAGAAGGAGGACCTGTGTGTGTGTGTATATATATATATATATATATATATATATATATATATATATTATTATTATTATTATTATTATTATTTTTTTTTTTTTGTTCAACAACAGGTGTAAAACATCACAGAGTATCTTGATCTTGCATATGAAGTGGAATAAAATCAATCAAAGCAATCCAGCTCAAGATTGAAAAAAAAACACTTTTTGTGTAAAAAAAAAAAGTCTTCTGTTCACTAGATGTTACAGACAAGGCCCGCATCCTTCCACCACCTGAAGAAGATGACATAGTCTGGGATCGTGTCTTACATTCAGACAGAAGACATGTTTTATTGTCGATGGTAGAGACAGCACAAACAAAGCACACGATCACAGATACAGGAGAATGCAAGTGTATTATACAGAGCGGAGGCATGGAGACCTCCAATCAGCAGCTTCCACGGTGTGCTTGTAGCTTGGCCTTCAGATAGACAAAACAAGGGAAAAGTACTGGCTTCTGCACATTGATAGAATGATGAGTTTAACTTTAACAAAAGTTGCTTAAAAGTGTTATGAAATCTCACAAGTGCCTATAATACACCTATAACCTCTTTTGAAATTCAAAGTAGGAGAGTCAGCTTTCTCTCATAATGATCTTTGTAGAAAGTATACTCCACCAAATGACATCCAGTCACTTTTTCAGAGTCTCCTTCCTGTAAAATGCTCATATAGGTCTGTAGAAGAAATCTATGTATTTGAATAGCACATGTATACAAATATACGCAGCTCAATGTGCTCAACAACAGGTGAGACAGTGCAGTATACCATGGTCACGTGAGACATTAAAGCTGGGGTACCTAAGACCCTTGACAAATTAAATCAAAACATACAGTCTCCATTTTGACTGAGGGTGGTCCTCTCCTTTTCACTTTTCTGACTCAAAGATGTGACAGAAAAGATGCATCATTGCATGTGTCATATAAACAAACTGCTGTGGGTTTTTTTTTTTTAGAAAGAACTAGCTAGATATACTGTATTTTATCTCATGGTTCATTTTTTTCCAATTCAATTTATTTTTGTATGGCCCTAAATCACAACAACAGTCACACAGATCAGAGAATCCAAGCGGTGCAGGACTTTTTTGTGGTTTGAAAATTAGATACCCCGGCTTTAATGTCTTTGATTGTGATATACTGCACTGTCTCAATGAGTTGCATGGATTTGTATGAATGTGCTGTACAAATATATTTCCTTCTTCTAAATATTCAGCGCAGACTTGACTGGTGCTTTTAATGTAGGTATTTTTTTGATTGTTAAACTTGAAAACTACCTCAACACTAGATTGTAAGTGTGTGTGTTTGTCAATATCTTATCTTTAAATCTCATACGGTTGTTTCTCTAGTATACAGTAATCTTTTCACGACCACATTGTTCAAACAATCTGACCTTTATCTACAAAACATATTTGCCCTTTTCTGCTGCTTCGGTCTTTGGAATTTTCTTC